TTTACATTTGCTTAAAATGTCTTATAATTAGATAAATTATTATATTTTAAAAATTTATTGTTATACTATATATATACAGTATATATCACATATAATGTATGTATATTTAGCTATCTATTGTATGATTTACTAAATTGTATTTCTAGTGAATTCTAGTGCATGTAAGACAATAAAAGTTTAGTTAAATATAATTTAAAACATTTAGTATTTATGTGATAAAATATTAATTATTGGCTGATCTAATTTTAATATACTCATAATTTCTATTAAAATTCAAATAATAATAACATTTTTTAGATATATGTAATTTTAATCAAAGTTTTGATTTATTAGTATTATTATTATTATTTTAAATAATTTGTCAAATAGTGCTTTGATAGCATAATATATATAAACAAACTGTAAATTGCATTATTTGCATATTTTTGACAAATATTGGTCAAATAAATTGCTACAAATTGTATTATTCATCAAAATTACATTCAAAATATGTTTTATTTACAATTTATTTATATATATAATAAGTTTTAAATTTTCATTTTTTTATTTTACTTTATTTACATAATATATTATTATTTTGTTTTAAAAAGATTTGCTTTATTTTATTATATGTTTGATATGTTTTTTAAATCTCATAAATTTTGTGTGTGTGTGTGTGTGTGTATTGAAATATTTTTTGAATATATTTAAAATGAAACACTAAATTATAGTAAATCTATTTCTCTCTCTCTCTCTCTCTCTCTCTCTCTCTCTCTCTCTCTCTCTCTTTCTTTCTTCTCTCTCTCTTTCTTTCTCTCTCTCTCTCTCTTTCTTTCTCTCTCTCTCTCTCTTTCTCTCTCTCTCTCTTTCTTTCTCTCTCTCTCTTTCTCTATTTATTTTTGTTGTAAAAATTTGTTTAATATTTGCATAAGAATTGCTTTACACGAAAAATGACTATTGTGTGCAAAATAATAATAAAACTAAAGAAAAGTATTATCACATAATACAATATAACTTATATATATATTCTATATTTTGTAATATTATGTACTGTAATATAAAAAATGCATAATAAGTACAGTATTATCTATGATATAAGTAATTTTCTATACAAATATATTCACCGAAAATTTTTATATTGAGTATTTGTTTTTTTTAAAAAAAAATTATCTATATTTTAACGATAAAAACAGTTGAAATAAAAAACAATATAATACTCTAAAAATTAAGACAAATAAACTGTATTATATATATTTATATATCTATATATATAAAACAATATCTATATATAATATGAAGGTAATTTAATATGAACTTTTTTTATTGATATAATTTTATGCAATATTTATAATTATTTTTTTGTGTATGTGTGAGACTAAGACAACTAAGACTAATGCATTAAATATTTACATAAAATTAATTTTTATATTTACATTATATATATATATATATATATATATATATATATATATTAATTAAGTAGTCCTATACTTATTTACATTAATTATATACAACAATCCTAATTGCTTGTTAGACTAAAAATCAATTTAATGTCAAAACCAGAATTATTATTATTATTATTACCATTATATAAAAACATAGTTAATATATTTTATCGATTGATATCGTTCTTAAAAACTAAAATTTAAATAATATTATAAATTTAATTTGTTAATAATGATAAAATATTTATTTAAAACAAAATATTTATTAAATATATGCAATATTTATTTGTATTTTTTAAAATTTAATAATATATTTGTAATTACAATTAAATGATCAAACATTATAATTGAAATACAGTATAATATACCGTTCGTAGTACAGTAATTATAATAAATATGTATATAATTACAGTATATAATCATAACAATAATACTGTACTATAATTATTCATATATTATGCTAACTTAGTATTATTTTAAATGTATAATAATTTTTGAATATTTAATAAATTATTTTAAAATACAATTTTTAATATTGCAATTATTATCACTTTGAATAGCACTTCAAATCAATTGTGTGCTAATTATGTAATAAGATATTCATTGTTTTAATAATAGCTATTTATTGAATTTATTTAAAACTAATTTCCAACTTATTAAATAACAATCTATATTATTATAATATTAAAATTTGATAAGTAATTGTTTGGAAGGAAGACATGTGGTTAGGATTTATATATCAATATATATATTATATTTTATAATAATATGTTATTTTGTTTGGATTAAATCCAATGATTAATCAATTAGACATTAGACATATTTTAATCATAATGAGTATACGTACACTGTATACTATACAGTACTATAATTTATATATATATATATATATATACAGTAATTATTAAATATATTGTGATATTAAATACTATTCAAAGAATATTTAGTTGTTTCTATATCTTATGAAAACTATAATTATTTTTTACTCTAAAACTTATTTATTTATCAAACAAATCGCACACAAAAATCAATTGTAGACACAGTCCTCATAAAGTGGTGGTCTGTCCTCTGGATAGGGCGGCGGCAGTTCCTTATTGTCGTCGATGGCCAACGAATCGAGAGTCGGCTCAAAGATCGGCATCGAGAAGGGAATCGGCGGACGGTAAACGACAACCATTGTCGAGGGACGCCTCCCATCAGTGCTTAATAGTTGACAATAGTTTCGGCAAATTATTATTGTCAGTATATATATGACTGAAAAGACCATCAAAAAGACAAAATAATAAAAAACAAATGTCGGATACAGTTTGAGAAGTTCAATGAATAGTATGATTGTTGTAACACAATTGGTCACAATAATAGTGACCAAATGTTCATTGACTACACCAACAATGGCCACCACATAGTTGGCCGAAATTAGTACAAAAACGACAGCAATTTCCAAATTGAATAATTGGGTAGACGTTAGGGCAAAACTCAACGGTATTATAACCATTAGGTTGAGTACAATCAATATAATCTTCAAAATGATTAGACAGTAATTAGCCATCAATTTATGAATAATTTTTTTTAGAGAGAGATATAAAAAGAGATGTCTTTTTTGTCTTTCTTTTTGCTGTCGATGTTCTGCCTCTTTCTAATTGCTTCTCCTTATACTTGACTTTCAAATGACACTAATTATGTCATATTTTAACAATTAATTTATCAAACAATGATTTTTTGCATTTTTATATTATAATTATTTATCAATGGAAGACATTATTGAAATTATTATTTATGAGATCAGATGACAATCTAATGATATGAAATGAGATGTTATGTAAGATCACAGTATATTATAAAACTTTCTTTAAATATTTCTTTAATGTGTAGTTTTTTTTGTTTACTTAATTAACTTTATTAATTTGATCTAATTATATAAGCACTTAATTAAAATATATTAAACTTTTTTTTACTGGACAAATATTATTGTTAAAAAACAGTTTTAAAATCATAATCAATTCAATATATATATATGTATTAAATTAACTTATTAATAATAATTAAGCAAGTTTAATTAAATAATTAATAAAAATAAACAAATCACAGCAAATTAACTTAAACACAACAAATATATAATTAAAAATAGCTAATCAATGGATGGGATAACTCCTTGTTTTGATTTTACGATCCATTATTAGTAACAAAAATACTAATCAATAATTTTATTGAATTTATCAACAATTGTTGGCGCTTTATTATTATTAACTATTATAAATATCAAACTACTATTATTAAGTTTCATTGTGTCTATTAAGTTATAGTGAATTTTATAACCAAATGTTATTAATCTTGCATTTCATTAAAAAAAATAATTATTTGTTAATTCACTATAAGTTGTTTTAAAGTTGTTATTTTTAATTATTAAAATTGATTAATTATCAAGATTATTATATACTTTTCTATATAATCTATATATATATGGTCTGATTAGCTATTTAAAAATTATAATTTACTAATATTTTATTGCATAAGCATTACTTATTACTATACTATACTATATTACATGAATTAATTCTCTAATAATTGATGACATATTATATGTAAAATCATGCATTTACTATAATATCAATAAAAACCTATTGATATTGATGTAAATTATTAAAAATTTGTTATTTTAATATAAACGTTAGTTAGTTAATCAGTTAGTAAAGAAATAATATGAATATAACTTTATTTATAATCACAGATTTATAATTTTTAAAATAATTTTTGTATATTATAATTATACAGTATATCTGCATTAAAAATAATTTTGTTTGTAATTTGAATATTGTACTGACAATTTTAATACAATATCTAAAATATAATATAACATACAGTATTATAAGGTATATTACAGTACAACCTTTTTGTTCAATACATCGATATCCTTACGCATCGATAGTAACATTAATTTTCATTAGAAAATACAATTTTCTTTATAATTTGTAATTTCAATTACAATGTTTTGTATAATAATATAATTTTAAATCATTAATAATAAAACAACGATATATAGAAACATCATTACAATTCACTTTGTGAAAGACTTCATTTCCTTATTAACAAACAATAATAATAATAATATATTTTTTTTATAAATATAAATTCCGATTAATATCATACAAATATATAATAACTTTTGTTTAAATTGTTCAACGCTTTTGAGATTATTTGTTATAAATAAGTTTATATATATATATATATATATATTTCTTTATAAATAAATTATATCAATTTTCTAAGATAGAAAATACATAGAAAATGAGTTAAACAACAAAAAAACATTTTGAATTATTAGTTAATTGAAATTAAAGTAATAATTGATAACTTGTATATTATATAAAATCAAATGCGAAAATAATCAATTTGTTTGTTTAGAAATTTAAATAAATCTACAGTATATTTATGTTATATCTTTTTAAAAAATATATATAAAACAAGTTCAAATATTTATACTAAAATTGAGTTTCAAATTATGTCAAAAAAAAATAAAGATAAATAAATATGAGATAGAAATGTGTCTAAAAAAATTGAATAAAAATCATTTACAGGTAAATTAATAAACAACTAACACAAACAATGTTTAGTAGACAATTAGCTCGCATATACAAACATAACTGGTTTAACAAAATTTATGAAACAATATTTTTGTTTGTTTGTCAATCAAAAATATACGAAAAAAAGATTTTTTATAGTAAAGTATTGACAATAGTTTAAACGGGTTTATGATTATTAGTAATGTCTTCATATTTTGGTGGCGGACAGTCATCATAGGGTGGCGGCGGGTCTTTCATAATATTGCTTAACTCTTGACTTGTCGATTGCGAAGTTGACATCGGGAGTGCCAAGTGTCCAACCGTTGGTGGCGGATGATAGACAACCACAGCTGCAAATGGCGAGGAATCTCTTGACTGGTTGTCGGCGGCACCTGTTATTTGTGTTCTGACTCCGCGCTGCTGACCGGCCGATCGGCGGCCATAGTTTTGTCTGTCTTTAAGCATCGCTGAGAAGGCATACGAAAGCATAACAATGGCCAGAAAGTAGAGCATCGAAAACGTCGCGTTCTGTGACCTATCTGTCCGACCAAATGAGGCCAACAAAAGCATTATCAGTGTTACAGATCCGGTGGTCAACACTAGTGGCCGCGACTCGCGTATGGCACCGACAATAGCGGCCACAAAATTAGATTCTGTATTTGAAAAATAATAATAATTATTATTAATAATATCTTAATATTTTATTAATAATAAGTGTTAAATCAAATACTATTTTTATGCGTTGATTTTGGCCTAAATATAACATTTATTTATTTATTTATTTTAATAATTTATTATAATGCTAATTTTGTGATTTAATTTTTGCTTACTTTAACACATATCATGTGTTTATTATAGTTCAATCATTTTAATTATTTATTTGTCATGTTATATATATATACAGGTATCATAATTATCATATAAAATTTATATAAATATGCAAAATTTATCTAATAATTGCCAATTATTGTTTATATTAATATCATAAAAATAATATTATAACTATTTCTATCATTTATAACCATAATAACTATCTGCTTAACTTAACTGTTTTTAACAAATTATAACTATATCTATCATTTAAAACATAATTATAGCTAAACTCAAATAAACAACTCATAGACAGCTATGTAATTATAATAATTTTTTTAATAAATTTTTTATAGTATAACAAATATTGTATAATTTCTTTAAAATTCACTCATTAATTACTCGGTTTATGTATAAACAACTAGTAAAACATTAAAATTATAAAATAAAATATATTAAATAATTATAATCTGTTGTTTAAATATTTAATTAAAGTCATGTTTGTCTAATTGCACACAAATTTGATAAAATGTCGATAATTAATGTTAATACATTTTGATTTTTTTTTTATAAAAAAACAGTACAAATTTGCATCATGTTAAAATAAATAGTTAATATCATTAATGTTTTTATACATAACTATTTACCATGAAATAATTCATATACTACAGTATAAACAAATAATAAATAAAATTATAGTAATATATGAATAAAAATATTTCCAATATATATTATACGATATTAAATTACTATTGAATCTAAATTAGAAATATATTACTACTAAAATTTGATCAATGATTTATTGCATAGTAACATAATATTAAATTATTTGGAAAATATGTATAAATGTCTTAATTATAATATAATTTATCAATAATATAACTTAAATGACTAAATTAATGTTAAAATAAATGTTGATTAACTAAAAATGCTAATCGTATATTTAAAAAAAACTGCTAATCTTAGATTACAACTATAGATATCAAAATTATATGAATTTATAAATTTTATTTTAAAAACACATTATTATTATCAACAACAAAAATTAAAATAAATAAATAATAACTAAATATAATTGTAAAACACATTAATAATAATATTATTATCTCAAAACAAGTAAAACTAACTTAAAATACAGTATATATATACTGTATTTTTAAAGGACTAAAACAAAATGTAGAAAATATTTCACTAAAATTATAATAATCAATGAAATAAATTGCAAAAATAACTGTTGGTTTTCATTGAATTCAAGGCTAAAAACACTTATTATAAATTAAAATAATAATAATAATAAAATATATCGCATAGAAAATAATAGTTAACATTGATTAACAAAAAAATAAAATAATTATCAAAATTAACAATAATATACAGTATATAGCAGTCATAATAATCACACCATTTAAAAAAAAAACTATTGACCACTCAATTACAAACTGACCATTAGTTTACTTAATTTATTTGATAATGTGGTCAATCATTCAACAATTTTCCCGAAACACAACAACACTGACCGTAAATGTCTTAATTTGAATAAGACTTTTAAAAAATATTTGATCAAAAACAACAACAACAACATTAAAGTCAGCCAACATTAAGCCGAGGATTATATTTACCGATAATAAGGACAAATATGACAACCGGTGGATCCATATGATGGCCCATCAATAGTAGACTTAGTGTCAGACCAATGATGACCAATGCATTCAATAGTATTAATGCTATTTTAACCAAACGATAGCTAAACGACTGATCACTTGCCATCTCTTCTTCTTAAGTGTTGTTAAACACTTGTTCTTCTTCTTCTTCTACTTAAGTCTTCAGTGATGACACCACCAGATCTATGGTCACAACAACACAACACAACTGTTTTTTTCTTCCTCTGATTGTAAATACAATAATGACTAGACGTTTGACATAACAATATGCAACCAAATTGGATGTGAAAACATTTATTACACTAATTATAAACAGAAATAAAAACAAAAAACAAATGTATAAAACAATATACTGTATAATAATTTAGTAATAATTAAAACTATAATTAATTGATTTATTGTGTGTTTTATGTTATGTTTCTATAATCATATTAATAATATTAAAATACAAATGTCTATCAAAATATGTGTGATATATAATATACAATAAATACTGTTTTAATCAAATGTTGTTTTATTTGTCACTAACACAACCAACAAAAAAATCAAAAGTGTTTTAATACTGTATATTGCTTTGACTCTCATATTTTATACACTAAATAAATACACTATAAAACTGAATATAAAAATATTTATATTAATAGTTAAAAAAATAGTGTAATTTTTGTGAGACTGTAATAATAATAATAGTCATACAATAAGCAATGTTCACAATTTTTATGATAAAACGTTTATATTATGATATAAATTTTTAATACTTTATAAACTTTATTAGCAATAGTAATATTTATTTATTTTAATTTTTTGGTTTATACAGTATGACTTTATATTCATATATAATTATAATTTTAAATATTTATTTATATGTTTTATATGTTAATTTTTATATTAATTTATAAAATAAACATTTAATACAGTGTATATGTTTATAAATTATAATTTTATTTATTATAATTTGTATGCTATACGGTTAAACCAATTGTATATCATTTAAAGTACTGTTATATAATAATATGATTGCATTATATTGTTTTAAACTTTTTTTATTGTAAAAAAACTTTTAATAAATATCCAGTATATGAATTGAATTAAATTATGTAATCGTAATATACGGAAAAGTTATTATAGAAATAAATGTGAGTTTTTAATATATATATATAATTTATAAACAGTATATATAATATTCAATTTAAATTTTATTTATTTTTTATTAAGTTATTATTATATTTATTTAATATATAATAATTATTATAATTATAATAAATTATTTATTTATTTTATAGATAAATACTAAAATTGGAAAAATCATACAATTTTAATAAATTAGTAAAATAATAATATCTTAATATGACTGATAAAAACTTAATATTTACTGTATTTACTAATAATTTAAAAGATTGCTTAATTTTCTATCAATATATCCAATTAATATCATAAATATATAATAGATTTCGGTAAATGTGTGCAATAATACAGTATTTATTTTTGAAGATAAAATTTTCAGAAAGTTTTTATTCGGAATTTCCAATCAATGAATCCATTCATCAACTTATGTTTTATTGGAAACAAATAACTAATAAACTAAAGTTATAATAATTTAAAATTTATTAATACAATGGTTTCTACATTTTTTTTATGTATTACTTGTCAAACATTTATTTAATATTTTAGTCATAGAAATGACACATTATTGTTATATTGTATATAATATTAAATAACAAATAAATAACAAATTTAAAATAACATTAATAACAATTTTTATTTATCATATTATATAAAAATGTATTAGTATTTTTTATTATTTTATTTTGATTGATATAATAGTTAATTTTAACTTAACACTGAATTTCACTTCAATCAGTCAAATATTTGATTTTACTTTCAAGTTGTTATTGTAAGCTTATAATAAATATATATATACAGTATATATACTGTATAATAGTTAATTTTGATATTAGAAAAGTTATTTAACTTTAATTGATTAAGTTTTGTTGATTTTGACTTTTATACTAAAATAGAAAAAAGTGTGATTTTAATAATATTATTAAATATAAATACAAAAGTTGTTATTCAATAGAAAAATCATTGAAAAAAATCTGCGAAAATGACGTAATATTAAAGCATCCGTTCATAAAGTGATTTAATAAAAGAGTTGTCTGTTTTATTCATTTGATAATCGATTTTATTGGAAAAATATTTATATTTATATAAAATAAATTTATTATAAATCTTATTGTTTGAACAAATTAGAGGCCATTTGTATGTTATATACACTTAACACAACTTTATAAATAATTTTTGTTAAAAAATATTGTATTATTTCAGTGCGTTTCTAGAAAAACTTTTTGATAAATTAATTTGCTTTAGCAAACAAAGAGAAAAAAAAGTTATTTATATAAATATATTTAGTTTAGAAGTAAATTGATATTTAAAAAAAACTAGTTCACCACATAATTATAATAATAATAATAACAATAATAATAATGAAGTTTTTATGTGTTTTACTACTATGTATTGCTGTAGTCTATGCCCAAAATTATGCGGAAACACCTAATAGGAGACGACAGTCATCATCAATAGCACAGAGTTCGGGTATATTTCATAGTTTGCATTAAATTAATTACAAATAAAATAAAAATAAATAAATTTTGTTTATATAATTATATATAAAATAAAAAATTTATATAAATATATATATATATTGTTTTCAGTTACATATCGAAGACAAAGAAATCTTGTGTACGACTTGAAGACACGTTCACAGACAGCCGAAAACAAAACTCTGGATCAGATCGCAGAGTTGCGAAAGAGTGCAACCGTTAAGATCAATGAAATTAGAAAATTGGAAAAACAATTCAAAATATTGAAAAATGATTTGATTGAAGTAAACCAAACATTTGTGATCGCCAAACAAGAACTGATCCAAGAGTTACAACAAAATAAAGATATTGTCGACAATCGTATCGCCAGTCGGGACACACCGGCAAATCAAAAGATAGGTCTGCGCGAAGAGTCGGACCGATTGGAGAAAAGGATACAAGAGATGAGAGATTTGATATTTTTGCCGTTTGATATCAGAAGTCTGGGTGATGGCTATGGAAGACATTTAAAGTAAATATCATCCATATTATTGATATCACTATAGTTGTGATGGCCTTCAATTGATAATTGATTTGAAATTGATTGCATTTATTTTGTTTCACAAATTGTTAAACATTTATTATGAATTACTTTTAAACGCGTAATTATTACAGAAATCATTAAATATTTATAATAATTAATTTAAACAAAAAAAATGTTAAACATCTGTCTGTCATAAATAAGTTATACATTATTCTTAATCTGTTTGGATAATAATTTTTAAAATTTTAATCGTATAAATAATCATTTTGTTATTTAAATCAATTTACAATTAAATAAAATGCAATTTTTAAAAAATAAAGTTATATAAAATCTTTAAAAATGAGATAACATGCTTAACTAAATTATAATAAATATTATATTAAATAAATAAATTTTTTTATATTCTAAAACCAAATGACAATAAATAAATTTTTAATATTAAAATTTTATAAATTATTTTTTATAATGTGTTTATCAAAAAATTATAAAAATTATAACATAGTTTAGTTTCATATTATTTTTATAAATAAAAATTATTTCAAATATTTATATTACAATATACAAGGTATTAATACAATACAATTAATTTATTACAAAAAAAATAATTTAAATTTAACATAGACTTTCGTGATGATGGGGACAGTAAATAATAGGCGCCACACAATTGGTTACATTTTTATTATTATTATCACTATTAATACTATTACTATTAACAACACCGTTATGATTATTATCATTATTATTATTAGCACTTGTACTAAATCTATGGCTATGTTTAATATGAACCATTAGGACAATTGAAAATATAATGATTGATAACTGTATGACAAACAGATTGGTACGGATCAGATTGATAAAGAATAGGGCTATTATAACGTTAATAAATGTGGTGACAATTGTTATACACATATTAACACGCATTACGCCTATCATAGCGATAATGTGATTGGCCACTACACCGACGAGTACGGTAATGGCCATTACAGAGGCCAAGTCATGATACAGATAGTCCTGGGCATTGCCGGTATCGGCGCACAAGTTTTCGCAGCTATCGTAAAACGCTATAATAGTCGATAGTTTTGCACCAAACAATAGGACAGATATAAACACATTGATGATTAAAATTAATACAATTGTCATATGCAATACAATTAATATGTTTTTAATACATTCAACATTCAGATTAACCATTTCATTAGTGGCCATAACTTTTTTGTTGTAGTTGTAGGGGTTGTTTGATTTGTTGAGATTTCATGAATTAAATAAATTCAATATCAATGACTTCATATGTTTTGTAGGAAATCTATGAGTCTTTTTATTATTATTATTATTATATAAAATTTCCTATTTATTGTCGACAATAATGTTATCACAGAATCACAAAACAAACTGAAAGATTCTTTAACATGTAATGACTGCAAGAATGAGTGAATTTGTGCAAACATTTTTAGAGTCTTTCCCTTCAAATACAGTATCAAATATTAGACTCACACACAAGTGATACACCAATAATAATAAAATACTGTTAAATACTGTTGTTTTTGTATCTATTTTAAAACAACTCTCTAGTATTTACAGTATTTTTTTTGCTGATGACTTATACCGTTGTACTGTCGAGGAGAGTGTCATTCTCAACATTTTTGCTGTACTTTTTTTGGATGATTTCCAAATTACGATATAGTTTTTCCCAAACATTGTGTTTTAGGGGATCATATAAATTACTTTGTTATAAATTATATTATTTTATACGAGAAAGAGAGAGAGAGAGAGAGAGAATTGTTGGCTACAATTGTCTAAAATTTTTAAACGCATATCTCGTTTTGTTAATTAAAAGATAATAATAATAATCGTGAAAATATTTTTGTATATTATTCTGTATACTATTTAGTGATTATTAATGTATTTATAGAAAAACATATGCAACTATATATATATATATAATAACAAATAACAGTAGTGTATAAATAAATAAATATATATATATATATATATATATATAATTATATTATATATGCAGTACATTATAAATAATATTAAATATATATGTAATATTGTGTGAATCTTTTGAATTATGCAATACTATTATAAGAAAAACTTTATTTTATTACAAATGCAGCAAATTCTTAGTAAATGATTATTTTAAAGATATAACTCACCATTTGATTGATTGATATGACAATTGTTTTTAAATATAAATATAGCATAATATTAACTATAGATTTAAGATAAAATCTTGATTAAATGATGTACTGTAATTGTCTATAAATAAAATAGTGATATTTTAAAAATAGATTAAAAATTATAATAGTAAATAAATACTTGTTTTAACAATAAAATAAATTTTAATTTTATGTCATAAAAACATTTTAACTAATTTTTTTGTATTATTTATTATAAAATTCTTAACTTAAATAATTTTATTTCGAAATAATCTATCATTAAAATAACAATTAATCGCTTGTTTTACAATAATTTTTAACTTATAATTGACAGGTTTTCAGAAAAAATAAACTTATATATATTAATATTAATTTTTAACTATTCATAATACAGTTTAAATATTACCAAAAAAATTGGCTGTCATTCAAAACATTGAAATTAATTTATATAAATATAATTATCAAAATAAATGACATTACAATCCCATGTCTTACAATCATTTCGGCTTAAAACCAGACAATCGGATCTATTCTTAATAAATCTATGTTTTATTTAAACTATTAATAGTTTAGTTTAATTTATATTTAGCATTTTAATCAATTTCTAGATAATAATTATTTTAAAATTTAATTTTAGTATTTGTATTTATTTATAAGCAAGGTTTCCAACTAATAGACCTACTTATTTTATTTTAAATTAATTTATCAATAATAATTATTTCCAATACTATTGAAAAAAATGCTAAATAAAAACTTAAACCATTACTAAGTATAGCGTTTAATGTGCCAAATAATTTTAAATATTAAAAAGTAAAATATTTGTCATCTTTTTTTAAAAAAAAAATGAGAAAAAGTTGTCATCAAAAAAATTAGTATAATAATCAAAATAATAAATTTAAAGTCACAAAAAAATTGTTTCTAAATAATTTCAATTATTATGGATATAAATTTTATTTAAATATATTGCACAAAACTACACTTCAAATTTGAAATATTTAGTTTTGTGTAAACATAATACAAAAATAGCATTTTTAACCCAACAATCAAATAAAAATTATTATCATTTTGAAAGTTTTTGCATGAATACACAAAAATTTTTATGTTACAGCATTTTAATTACAACATTATACAAATAAACAACACATGGCATTATTATTATTATCATATATGCAATGTTCAATATATATAAATACAATATAAAGTGAAAAATAAATAATATATTAATTTTTAAAATAGAATTTAAATTAAATACATTTAAAATTACAATAAAAATCATAAATATATAATAATTTTATAACAGATAATATAATTAAAATTATATTACAATAGATTACAAATTATAATATAATTAAAAACAATAACTTTGTTGAATCTGATGGGAAAAGTGTACAGAATTTCGGTTAACATTATTTTGCTGTAAATTTTGACAATTATTATTATTATTATTACGACAGTAAATATGCAAACGATTTTTGATGAAAATGATATAAATTAGTGAAACAGCTAAGTGTAGTAAAATAATTGCAAATATATTTGCGGGTAAAGTGAATATCAATATAACTGATACGACAGCCGTGATAACTGTTGTTACAATCATTGTAATCACTCGATAGCGTAGGACAGCATAGATGGCCAGCAAATGATTACCACAATAGACGAGTAGTGATATGCAGAATGAAATGGCAAACATGGAGTTGTTATCATTGTTGATGGATTGCCAGCCAAATACCGGTGCCCGGAGCAGACCGACCAACAGTGCAATGATCAGACATATAATTATTATAAACAAATTTAGGCAAATATTGAACACTTTGAGACACTCGATGGTAGCGATGATAATGATTGGCTTATTTGTGTCACAGTTAGTTGTGTCGGCCATTAGTTATTTAAATGCATATTACATATACCAAGACATCTAAGAAATGACATAACAGTTATAATAGTTAGTGAAACGATTTGTTATTTGAATTTTACTGTATTATATATACAGTATATACACAGTATATATGTGTTTATTTAAGTTTTGCGATATACACGAGTGTCTGCTATTTTTCGCGCTGACAGCAAATGATTGCAATTTATAAATAGATATTATATTATTAATACATTGTATATGCATTTAGGCTTATTTATATGAAATTAGTTTCCAGCAGTATTGTCAAAAAAAATAATTACTTTATGATTAAAGTTAGATGACAAATTATATATAAATTTTTTTAACCCCCCTCCCCCCATGTCCAAACTTTTAAAAATAATTACTACTCGTAAATTATTATTTATTTAAATAAGTAAAGTGATAGAGTTAAATAATAATATTATTGATTATCATTAATGATTTATTATATACTGTACTAAAAAGATGAAATAATTATGAACTTTAATATAATTTTTAAAAAATATTATTTAATAATATTGTGTTAAATTGACAAACAATTGAAGTTTGGAGAAACAAAAATAGATTCAATTGATAATCATATGACACAAACAATTGTTTAATTCAAATCAATGGTTAAATCAAATGTCAAAATTCTGGTCATTTCTTTACTGACCAAATCCCGGATCATAACCAAAGTTTTGGTTACTAAACCCGATCCTAAAGTCGACTTCTTTGTCATCACAATTGTCTGTGAATTTATCAGTTGATTGTCTTCAACAAGTATTCAAATAATTTTCAATACACAAATAAAATTTCAATATTATAACTTTATATTTACTMTATATATTGATATTTTATTTATTTAATTAGAGTTGTTATAATAATAATGTTGATTATATGATTGCCACACAATTAGCTGATCGGCACCTGTATCTCGAAATCGTCTCTTGTAGTAAACAATGTATTACTTTGTAATGTTGTCGTTGCACTCAACAAATTACTACCAGTAGAGCAGCCATTACTGGCTATTTGGACGATATATATAATAGATATAATGATAATAAATAGCAGATTAAAATAAGTTAGTAGACATGGAAGTACTTCGTGTATCATCGATGGTATAGTTATCAGCATTATTGATGTCAAACTAGTAGTTAATATCAATAAAATTGTATTTTCAATGAATACAGCAATTATGTTGACTATATATACAATAATTGAAAAATAGTAGACAATAATCATCGGAATATTCATGAGATATATCAATGAATGGTCGGGTTGTGGACAGTAGTACAGAATATCCATCAATGATATACATATAACAAGTAAATACAGAATTAATAAAATAAGTTTTGTTACCAAATAATTGGTAACAACTGTACACTTCATTATCAAAAAAAAGTTTATTAATTAAAGAAACAAAATTAATACTATCTTTTAAAAATCAATATAAATTTCAATAATAGTTTCACTAATTTTAATTTTGTTGTTTTAAAAATATACTGTTATTTAAACTATTAGAAAAAGTTTATTTCAATAAATTTTATATTCAGTAATCTTTTTTTTTGTTTCTAATAATAATTAAATAACTCTATTATTATAAGTTTAATGTTACAAAATGCAAATACATTTTATTAATAAATATAAAATCAATCGATTTATATAACAAAATACAAAACAAAACATGAGTTTAATGTGTTATAAATTTGATGTCATTGCACACACTCTCATATAATTAAAGTACGAATACTACTATTACTACTAATAAAAAAATATTATTATTATTATTATTATAAAATTTATTAATAGTTGTGTTGTTTGTACTGAATTTTATTAAACAAAACTCTTAAAACTCCAAACCATTGATAAAACAAAACATTGGTTTTAAAGTGTTTTTCACTCAATTGACTCATAAATTTTCACTTCAACAACAAATTCAATGCAAATATTTGTTTTGCTATATTGTGTAATATATACTATAATTTGGGATCAATTTTGTTTTTATGCAACAGTTTATATAATAAACAATTTTCATTATATATTTTTAGAAACTATTAGAAACTAGTTTATACTTAAATATAATATTTGATAGATTTGACAGTAATTATCATTATATTTATTACAAATAACTTATAAAAACATTAGACTGTAATTATTTATTATATTAAATTCAGTAATTTTTAAAAATGTTAAAAAAAATTATTTATATAATTTATATATATTTACAAAAATTAAAAGTTTGACAAATAAAATGGGTAAAAATGCATAATAAATAATATAACATGAATTTACAATTAATGATATTTTTTAACACAAAATGAATTAAAATATTGAGAAAATTATACTAAAAAAAATACTAATATATTATAATAAAAACTAAGACAATGTCTAAGACATGTCACTGTTGTTTACGAGCAATAATTTTGAGACACTTTCTTGTTGTCCGTCGGATTAGATAAATAATGACCAAAAAAATTACAATTGAAATCATTAAATGAAGAGGTCATTAGTAAAGCTTGTATTTGAAATTCCCGGTTAAGTCTGGATTATGACGTCATTAGTAAAGCTTGTATTTGAAATTCCCGGTTAAGTCTGGATTATGACGTCATTAGTAAAGCTTGTATTTGAAATTCCCGGTTAAGTCTGGATTATGACGTCATTAGTAAAGCTTGTATTTGAAATTCCCGGTTAAGTCTGGATTATGACGTCATTAGTAAAGCTTGTATTTGAAATTCCCGGTTAAGTCTGGATTATGACGTCATTAGTAAAGCTTGTATTTGAAATTCCCGGTTAAGTCTGGATTATGACGTCATTAGTAAAGCTTGTATTTGAAATTCCCGGTTAAGTCTGGATTATGACGTCATTAGTAAAGCTTGTATTTGAAATTCCCGGTTAAGTCTGGATTATGACGTCATTAGTAAAGCTTGTATTTGAAATTCCCGGTTAAGTCTGGATTATGACGTCATTAGTAAAGCTTGTATTTGAAATTCCCGGTTAAGTCTGGATTATGACGTCATTAGTAAAGCTTGTATTTGAAATTCCCGGTTAAGTCTGGATTATGACGTCATTAGTAAAGCTTGTATTTGAAATTCCCGGTTAAGTCTGGATTATGACGTCATTAGTAAAAAGCTTGTATTTGAAATTCCCGGTTAAGTCTGGATTATGACGTCATTAGTAAAGCTTGTATTTGAAATTCCCGGTTAAGTCTGGATTATGACGTCATTAGTAAAGCTTGTATTTGAAATTCCCGGTTAAGTCTGGATTATGACGTCATTAGTAAAGCTTGTATTTGAAATTCCCGGTTAAGTCTGGATTATGACGTCATTAGTAAAGCTTGTATTTGAAATTCCCGGTTAAGTCTGGATTATGACGTCATTAGTAAAGCTTGTATTTGAAATTCCCGGTTAAGTCTGGATTATGACGTCATTAGTAAAGCTTGTATTTGAAATTCCCGGTTAAGTCTGGATTATGACGTCATTAGTAAAGCTTGTATTTGAAATTCCCGGTTAAGTCTGGATTATGACGTCATTAGTAAAGCTTGTATTTGAAATTCCCGGTTAAGTCTGGATTATGACGTCATTAGTAAAGCTTGTATTTGAAATTCCCGGTTAAGTCTGGATTATGACGTCATTAGTAAAGCTTGTATTTGAAATTCCCGGTTAAGTCTGGATTATGACGTCATTAGTAAAGCTTGTATTTGAAATTCCCGGTTAAGTCTGGATTATGACGTCATTAGTAAAGCTTGTATTTGAAATTCCCGGTTAAGTCTGGATTATGACGTCATTAGTAAAGCTTGTATTTGAAATTCCCGGTTAAGTCTGGATTATGACGTCATTAGTAAAGCTTGTATTTGAAATTCCCGGTTAAGTCTGGATTATGACGTCATTAGTAAAGCTTGTATTTGAAATTCCCGGTTAAGTCTGGATTATGACGTCATTAGTAAAGCTTGTATTTGAAATTCCCGGTTAAGTCTGGATTATGACGTCATTAGTAAAGCTTGTATTTGAAATTCCCGGTTAAGTCTGGATTATGACGTCATTAGTAAAGCTTGTATTTGAAATTCCCGGTTAAGTCTGGATTATGACGTCATTAGTAAAGCTTGTATTTGAAATTCCCGGTTAAGTCTGGATTATGACGTCATTAGTAAAGCTTGTATTTGAAATTCCCGGTTAAGTCTGGATTATGACGTCATTAGTAAAGCTTGTATTTGAAATTCCCGGTTAAGTCTGGATTATGACGTCATTAGTAAAGCTTGTATTTGAAATTCCCGGTTAAGTCTGGATTATGACGTCATTAGTAAAGCTTGTATTTGAATTTTAATATCATATATAATTATTTTTAAAAAAAATCTTATTGAATAATATTGTGTTTAATTGATAAACAAAATTAGATTCAATTGATAATCATATGACAAAAACAATTGTTTACTTCAAACCAAATATTAAATCAAATGTCAAAATTATAACTTTATATATATATTGGTTTTATATATTTAATTAGAGTTGTTATAATAATAATGTTAATTATATGATTGCCACACAATTAGCTGATCGGCACCTGTATCTCGAATTCGTCTCTTGTAGTAAACAATGTATTACTTTGTAATGTTGTCGTTGTATTCAACAAATTAAAGAAGTTTATACTTAAATATAATATTTGAAAGATTTGACAGTAATTGTAATTTATTACAAATTATTTATTAAACATTATTACTGTATTTATTATATTAAATTCAATAATTTTTAAAAATGTTACAAAACTATATTTATATAATTTATAGATATTTATTTACAAAAATTTAAAGTTTGACAAAAAAAATGGGTAATATTGCATAATAAATAATATAACATGAATTTACAATTAATGATATTTTTTACACAAAATGAATTAAAATATTGAGAAAATTATACTAAAAAAAAATACTAATATATTATAATAAAAACTAAGACAATGTCTAAGACATGTCACTGTTGTTTACGAGCAATAATTTTGAGACACTTTTTCTTGTTGTCCGTCGGATTAGATAAATAATGACCAAAAAAATTACAATTGAAATCATTAGATAAAGCGATTCAATGATTATGAAAATGATTGCATATCTCTCTATAAAAGTGGCCAAAATATATGGCGTGAATGAGACGACTATTTCCGATGAAAACATAAGTACTGTTCCGATAGAGTTTGAGATTTCTATGTATTGCTTAATGTAGGCAAACATTGACGGAAAAAGTGCCGAAAACCCGAAGCCGAGCACTATATTCGCCATTTGGACCATCAATAGGGAGTGATTGGAGAAAAATAGTATACAAAAACCGGTGATTATTATCAGAAAGTGATATTCAATCATATGTTTTGCTCGTATTTTAATTGATATCAAAACATTGATTCCGCGACCAATAGTGTATGCGGTGGCCATAACCGACATAATGCCGGCCGCTTTGCTTGATGTCAGTCGGAGTTCCATATTCTGGTAATACGAGGGACCAAATTGAAAGGCCAGTCCTTCGCACGCGTTGTAAAACATGAAGAATACGGCAAACAATAAGATCAGAGTTTTTCGCGGACTTTCGTCACTGCTTTTGAAGAGATTCTTCTTGTGTTCCGATTTCTTGCACTCGTAATCAATGGTCGTCTCGACAATCATTTGGTCCGACAATCGGTACTTCTTTATCATAAACATCACAACCAATAGCATTGGAACTATAATTATTTAAAAACAAATAACAAAAATAGTTTGAATTCAATAATTAAGTAAATAAAATAAATGAAAGTTAAGTAAATAAAAGTTTTTATAATTTAAAAAAAAACAAATAATTATCAATAATCTTAATCTATTGATTGAATAAATGTATTATATTTCATATAAAATGTAAAAGTGTTAAGTACTCAAACATTATATAACCTAAATATAGTTTATCTAACATTCAAACACTTTTATAAATAATTATTGAATTAAAATAAAAATGTTATTAAAATTGATAACAATTTTTTTTAAAAACTTACAAATAAATTGAATGACGCCATTGATAAGGAACGGCATTTTAAGGCTGTCTCGTCTCTCATCAATCAAATCAATTGTTTGTGTAGTTTTGTTGACAAACATGTCATCGTTGGCGACAATTTGTACCGTATTTGATACCAAAGAGTCGTCTTTGAGAAACATCTGATTAACAATCGGCGACAGTATAGTCCCGATGCCAAACATGAACTGTAATAACTGTAGTAACGGTGCCGACCGTTTCTGCCAGATCTCTATAAGCCATACGTTAACTATACTGTTCCAACAGCCGGAGCCTAGACCGACAATCAGACCGCATGTGTAGATGTGGGCCAATGATTGACAATATGGGATCAGTATTGATGACAATGATATTAATATCAAAAATATTGATACAGTTATTTGTCGATTAATGTATTTGAATAGAAATCCAACTGTAATATCATAAGGTTTTTTTTTGTAAATATTATTATAATTATTATTATTATAGTATTTTATTAAAAAACTTTTACTTACAAAGAGATCCGCATAAATAGCCGATAGAAACAAATGTATTAAATAATGAGATGCTGTTTATCGATGTGTTTAATATGTATTTCAAGTCAATCATTACAGCGAAAAACATATGTCTCGTCATTCCCTTTTAAAATATAAATAATTTTAAATATTATAATTTTAATTATTCATATAATATAATTTGAATATAAAACAACAAAAACTAAAATAAAATATATATTATTAAATAAAATACTTACAAATGCCGTGTGATTTAATAATAAAATAATTGTATAAACATATTTATCCCATTCATATTTTTTACTAGTAGTAGTAAATGTCATTTTTGTTTGTTAACAAAAATAAAAAATTATTTTTAAAAAATTTAACAAAAGTATTATTAATTTATTAGGTTTTAAAATAAAAACTTTTTTTTGATATATAATTTTTAAATAATATTTAACAGAATAACTAATTAATTATTTTAATTATTAGTTAATTTTTGTTTCTTTAAGAAATTTAATACATTAAGACATGTGTGTGTTTTTTTAATGAACACAAAATTCATAATTTGATTAATTGAATTAAATAATTATTAGCCGACACTTATTTATATACAATATATATACATATATTGTGAACCCGTTTTGCATGTGTGGCGCCAAACACTTTATGGCCATCACTTTGTCGGATCATTGGTTGTGGAGTTAATAATAATAATAATAATAATATGACAGACAATTTACAGGTCGTCCCATAGATATGAAGCTAACAAACTGTTCGCCCAGTTTTGCTGATAACATATCATATCAACAAAAAAATTAGAAATTAAAGTCATTACAAGAATAAATAAATAAATATAAATCACATTTTTTGTGTGCTATTGATTAAAAAAAATCAATAGTAAGGTATATTTTTTACATAAATCTATTTTTATATACAAATATTTTATACAAAAAAAAACTAAATTATGCTTATAATGCAAATTGTGTGCTAATAATATGCTAACTAATTAATGATAATATTGTTAATTTTATTTTTCCAATCATTAATTTTAATTAAAAATTATCGCTGCAAAAAAAATTATATAAAAAGTGAATAATTGATTAAAAAGTTTAAGAAAGTTTAAACAAACATAAGTTGCAAAGTCCTAAATGGCCTAAAAAATTACATTTAATATCTGCTCTAATTATTTGAAGAAAACATTAATGAAAAAAATGTTTTGATGATATTGACGCCAGTTTTTTGGATAAATGATAATATTTGATTAGATTTTTTAGTATTAAAAAAATATCTATTTATAAAACTAGTATAAACACACTTTTTTAATAATAATAATAATAATAATAATAATAACAGTTGTTATTAAACTTTTTATAAAAACATATACAAATACTGAATATAAACAGTATATACCGGTATAACATGAATGTCAATATTCTATGTGTGAAATTTATTTATATAAAAAAAAACAATTTTCTTATTACAATATACTTGAATTTATTTTCTAAATTTTCTAATTTCTATATTATATATAAAATACCTAATAGTATATATTATTCTTATTTATTTTTTTTTGCATTTTAATTTTAATCAGACATACAATTATTAGATCTAATTAATGATAATTTGTTGTCTTAATTAATGATTATGCTGGGAACTTATGCTGGGAAAATATTTTTGGAAAATAATTTGTCAAAAATGGAAAATTTCCATTCAGTTTAAAAATAATGTTATTAGAGTTAACTAATTTTCATTTATTTAATTTTCATTTATTAATAAACAGGAATTTATAGTCAAAAATCGAGAAATACAACATTCCTATAATATATGAGTAAAATTGTTTTACTTTAAAAAAAACAAGTCTAACATCAAATATATGAGACAGAGATAATCAAAACTATAACTTTAGCAAAAAAAATGACTAATAAAAAGTGTTTGACAAAAAATTTAATTATAATAATATCATTATTATTAGTAATTTTAAGTAATTTAAATGTTATTATTAGTGATAATATAATATTTTCTGATATTAATAATAAAATTGCATTCAATGTATTAAAATCTTTACCACAAAATCAAAACAACTTTTTTTCGCCTTTAAGTATAACCACTTCGTTGTTAATACTGTTAAAGGGATCTAATGGTGACACTGAAGATGAACTCCAGAAAGTTCTGGATATTAAAGCAAAAAGTAATTTATAAAAATAATTATTTTTTGTACATTTATTCTTTAATATAGAATATGTATATAAAATTTTCTAATTTTTTCATTAAAAGCCAATTTGACAGCACTTGAGGAGAGTTTGAAAACTCAATTGAAATCAATTGAATCACAAATTGATAAAGAAGTAAACATACGGTTAGCAAATCGCATACTTATATCAAACAAAAGTCCACTGTTGAAGACATTTGAGACATTTGTTGACAATATATTCAATACTCACATAAAAAGTGCTAATTTTATGAAAAACTATCATTTTCTGAGAGCCGAAAGTAATGAATGGATTAAAAGCGAAACAAATAATATATTTAAAAAACTTTTCGACAACGAGTTGTCCAGTAATACGTCGATAGCATTGGCCAACAGTGTCTTTCTGGAGGCCTTTTGGAAGAATGCTTTTACACAGAAATACACGACAAAAGACAACTTCTTTGATGAGACACAACCCGATGGCATATCAGTGGACACAATGAAGATATGGAAACAATACAAATACATTGTTAACAATTCATTAGATGTTATGGCAATTGAATTGCCATTTCGTTACGAAAGTGATATCTCATTAGTAATTGTATGAAAATTATGTTTTATATTAATATAAATTTATATATAAAAAATAAATTTTTATTTCATTTATTTTTCTAATTACTTGTATTGTACTAATAAATCAGTTAATGCCCAACAATGGACACGGATTAGATGAGTTAACCTTTAAGTTAGACATTCACTCATTGAAAGTTATACTCAATGAATTGGATGTATCGGAGGAAAAGAAATTGGTGTTATCTTTGCCTAAATTCACCATAAGATCAGGTATTCATAACAATCAGTGTAATTGATATTAATATTTATTGATTTTTTTTGTTTAATCAGAATATAATTTGGAGGACGTGTTCAACGGTTTGGGTCTAAAAACATTGTTTGACTCCACGGCTAACTTAACTGATATGACTGGCGACACAACTCTGCACTTATCTCATGGCATACATAAGGCATACATTGAGATCAAAGAGGAAGGTCTTCAGTCATCACAATTGTCTCAACTGTTATATTCGCCTTCAGTTCAGTTCAATAATCATCCGTTTGTGCGACACTTTCCCATCAAAGTTAATAAACCTTTTATTTTCATTATAAGAGATTATAATACAGATATAATGTTAGCAATGGGACAGTTGAGGACTCTATAAAATTTTATTTATATAATAAATTATGCTTTTATTTATTTATTTTTATATTTAAAAAATAATCATATTAGAAAAATTAATTTATTATATATATTTAATTTTACTAAAATGTTGTATTTAAAAATATAGAGTTATAAAAATTATTTTAAAACCCAAACTTGTTTAAATATATTATATAAGTAGATTAAACTAAATTTATTGATAAAATACAGTAAATAATTTTATTACCTAGTTCATAACAAGTTTAAACTTGAAAATAAATTATTGAAATTTTTTTTTTTAAAATGTTTACAATATTTGTTCACTTTTGAGATGACTTACCGGTTATACAACAAATTTACACTTTTTTTTTGTTGAAAACAAAGAAATAAAAAGTATCTAAAAAACTAACCATTAGTTTCTTAACACTTAACACTTAGCTTTTAGTCAGTCAGTCAGTCATCACTTTCAATGTCTAGTGAAACGATGAACAGAGAAAATATGTCGAAAATAACTATAATTTTCTCAATTATTTTATCGATAGCGCCGACAGTTATTCAGTCGGCAACAGAACTATCAAAACTTAGTGAACAAAACAATAGATTGTCATTAAATTTGTTAAATGTTTTGCCACAAAATCAAAATAACTTTTACTCGCCATTAAGTATCCAATACTCTCTGTATATGCTGTTGAACGGTGCAAATGGACGGACAGATACAGAGATCAAGACTTTATTTGGTATCAAACAAAATGGTAATCAAAAAAATTTTATGTCTAAAAACTTTTACATTTAATAACTTAAATTAATTATTTTAACATATTTTTAATTACAGAAACAATTAATACATTAAATAATGACATTAAAAGTACATTGAATTCAATGGGAGATAAAAACAATTTAATAGATTTTGTAATCCGTTTTGCAAACCGTATACTTATATCCAAAAACTTTAATTTGTCGACAAATTATGAGTCAATAATTCGGGAAAAATTTCTGTCGGCTATCGATTCGGTCGACTTTCGGTCCAATTCAGCCAATATTACTGATGATATCAATGAATGGATTAGACAGCAAACTAATGGCAAAATTGATAAACTTTTTAATAATCTAAATAATGATACACTGTTTGTAATATCCAATGCACTGTATTTGAGTGCCGTTTGGGAATATCCTTTTGATAACTATAGCACAATAGACACTGATTTCTATGGCTATCTTAGGACAACTAAAGTGCCGACAATGAGACAAATGAGAAAATATCGATACACTGATAGTCGGACATTGAATGCATCGGTTCTTGAATTGCCATTTATTGAAGAAAGCAATATATCGATGATTATTGTAAACAAAAATTTTATATAATTTATGATAAAAATATATTGAATGTGTTTTTTTGTTGGTATAACAATTCTATTATTATTATTATTTTTAAAAGATACTGCCAAATGATGGTTTAAACAAAACAATTGAATCATTGACATTGGATTCACTTAATAATGAGATCAACAGATTATATAACAAATCCAAATCACAAGTAAACCTAACGTTTCCAAAGTTTGAATTAGAAACTGGTATTTCATATTTATATAACTCTAAAAGTTTCAAACAGTTTAACATTTTTTTATTAGATAATAATTTTGTATATTTCAGAATACAATCTCCAGAATCCATTGAAACAGTTAGGGCTGAGCACAGTGTTTGAGTCTAATGCCGACCTGTCCGGCATAACTGGCAGCCGCAATGTACACGTATCGCAGGCCATACACAAAGCCGTGTTCAAAGTGACAGAAACGGGTGCCGAAGCGTCGGCCGCCGTTGGACTGGTCGGTGTGCCTCACATTTGGATACCGCCGGTTGAGGTCAAAGTGGACAAACCGTTTATATTTATTATAAGAGATATCAATACGGGTTTGATATTATTCTTGGGTCAGGTGCTCGACATATGAAATGTTTTAATTAAGTAATGTTTTTCTTTAGGATTACAATGATTTCAAAGTAATAAATGAAACAATTGTTTATTTATAAGTAAATTATTAATAAATATTATTTTCATATTTTTATTTATGTTTAAATTTTAATGATTACTAATTTATTTAAAATTTTTCAAAAATAAAATATTCAAAATAAAAATTATTAACAAAATTCCTTATAATATAATAGTAATTATTTTATTTAAAGTGATTGTGTTTATACACTAAAAATTAATTAGTAATTTCATGGCAACTGATAATATAGTTATTAATTATGTTATTTTGTTGATTACAGTATAATAACAAATGTTTCTTTGTTTTACATAAAAAAATATTAATAAAATATTTTTAAAAATTTTATATTTAAATGTGAAAAAATGCTGATAACATTGATAATTATATGCTTGATTTACTGCTGTAAATGAATCAATAAATTATATATGAAAACAAAATTGTCAAACAAGACAACAATAGAGACCTTCATTAATATTAACGACAAGTGTCTCATTACTGGCAATGTTTTATTTATTATATAATGAAAAAATAGTTTTATAATAAACAATAGTAAAAGTGACGGGAAATTAGCAAATAGTTGTTTTTAAAAGGATTAGTAAAAGTTTTTTTTATTAGGAAAGCGATGTCTTTAACTAATAATTATGATAATAATAATATTGTACTTATCCTTACATTACTAGACTAATGTCACTATTAGTTAATATAAAATTTATAATGTTTTTTGTTTAAAAATAATTACTGTTTGAATGTGTTTAATAAAGGGTTTTCAAAAATAAATTGTAAAAATTATTGCAATAAAAGTTGTGAAAAACCATAAAATTGTTAAAATAATATTTTGAATTTTATTATAATAATTATACTAAAATTAATAATAAACATTCAGTATTATGTGATTAATATTTAAATTGAAAAGTTTTCAAATCAGAGTAATGTGAAAGTGTTTTTGAATTGTTAATTGAAATTTTGTTTTACATTTTTTATTATTTTAATATCATAAATATTTAATTATTAAATACATTTTTGTCTATATATTGAGTGTTTTTTTGTTACATTTATAAACTAAAATATAATACCAAAACTTTAATTAAAAATTTTTGAATTATTATCAAATTGAACTTTTTAAATAAACAAAAATGTTGTTATTATCGATTATATTATTAATATTATTGTCAATTTTGACCATCAATTGTCAAGTGAGACATCAAAACGACGACAACTTGATTTCAATTAATAATAAGTTGGCTTTAAATCTGTTGAATACAATGCCAAAGGATGGCAACAATTTTTTCTCGCCATTAAGTATTACAACGGCTCTGATGATGGTATTGAATGGTGCCAATGGTATCACCGAACAGGAACTCAAACATATCTGCAATATTGGTGACAATGGTATATAAATAAATTAAAGTCACATTTTTCTAGATATATAAAAAATTAATTATTAAAATATACAATAATAGCAAATATCGCTACAATCAATGATGAAATAAAAATTATTTTGAAGTCTATAGTGGAAACCGATAACAAAGATTTAGTATTGAAATTAGCAAATCTATTGTTGGTTACCAATCAGTTATCATTGAATAAAGACTATAAACAATTGATGACCAATACGTTTGACTCGACTGTCGAGTCGGTCGACTTTGCAAATGACGGCCAAAAAGTTATCGATAATATTAATAAATGGGTGGAAATACATACCAATAATAAAATAACTGATTTAATTAAAATACCTTTGGATCCATTAACGGCAATGATACTGATAAATGCAGTCTACTTTAAGGGCACCTGGAGATACTTGTTTGATAAGAGTAGTACCAAAAAAGGCCAGTTTCATGACTGGGGTAACGATGAAACTGTTTCAGTCGATATGATGTCAATGAAGAGACGATTTAAAGTCAAAAATAGTAAACAATTGGACGCAAATGTCTTTGAAATGCCATTTATCGGAGACATGTCAATGATTATTGTAAGGATACTATCATTTTTCTTTGTGATTAACATTTTTATTAACTATATTTAACTATTATTTACTAAACAATGAGAACTGTTAATACTTTTCATAAACTATTTAATGAAAATTTATGTTTTTTTCTTTCTCACAGCTTTTGCCAAATGATAGGAAAGGTTTGGATTCAATGACAAAAAAGTTGAATTTAAAGACATTCAACGATACGATCTATACTGTTATCAATCGGAAAGGACAGTCCAATAGTTTATATTTTCCAAAGTTTAAGCTAAAAACAGGTATATCTTTAAAAAACATGACAAACCAGAGTCATAGAAACATAAACTATAGAATTATTATATGTTTTTTCAAATATAATTATAATAAATTTATAAAATATTTATGAAATCAATTTTGAAGTATTTTTTCTTTTAAATATTCACAGAATATAATTTGAAAGACTTGTTAAGACAATTGGGAGGCAATACAATGTTCACCGATTTGGCCGATTTTTCCCGAATCAATGGCCAGCAAAAGCTGAAAATTTCCGAAGCCGTACACAATGCCTATATAGAGGTCAACGAAGAGGGCGCAGAGGCGGCGGCAGTTTCGCGATTTCATTTTTTGACCCGAACTTTCCGGTCAGATCAGGTACGGGTTGATCGGCCCTTTATGTTTGCCATTGTCGACATCAAATCGGGACTTATTTGGTTTTTGGGCCAAATTCGTACTCTTTTGGAAAATTGATTTTATTATCTTAAAAAAATTATTTAAAAAATAATTTAATTGATAACATTTTGAAAAATACTTACTGTTTTTTTCATTTATTAAAAAAAATTAACATTTTATATGTAATAATATCACAATTAATTAATTATTAAATATTTAATACACACACACAAAAAAACCACTGAAAACTAATTAAAAGAATCTTAATTTTTTTAATGTTCAAAATATTTATTTAAAAAAAATAATTAAATAAATAAATAAGCAAAATGCAATTTTTATTTATTAGTTTACAATTATTATTATTCTTTATTAGCGGTACTATAATTTTTTGTGATAATAATAATACAATTAGTAATATAAATAGTAATTTTAAGAAAATTTCCGAAAACATGACCACAAAAACATCATTAACAACAACAACAACAACAACTGAAAAATCATTTTCTTTTGGTAATCTATTGAAACAAGTCTTCTCTAAGGGCTGGACTAATTTGATATCAAATAATAATAATAATTCAAAAGATACTAATGTTGATGATGTTGATGATGAGGATGACAATAGTTATGGTAATATGAATTATACTACTGATTATGGGGATGACTATGGTATCAAAGATAATGACGATAACAAAGATTATATTACAACTGACAAAACAATTGTCACAACAATTGAAAAACAATATTATTATAAATTAGTGTCAGTTAATGAATCCGATAAACTATTTAATGTAACTCTAAATAATGCTAATAATACTAATTATAATAAATTTAATATATTAAACTCTACTTATTTATATTTCATATTTAATTATATTATCTATAAATATGTTTATTAAAAAAATATTATTGTATTCGTATTTATTATAAATTTATATATAATAAAATTGTAATATATTTTTTATGCAAAACAGTAAAAATCATGTAATTAATTACTTACAGTAATTAATTAATTGAAAAGTTCAATAAAATGGCATAAAATCTATGCAAACATTAAGTAAATGGATGTATAAGTTGTGTAACTTTTAAAAAAAAAAATAAATTTCAAAATAAAATGCTGCGAATAAATCTAATAATTTTAGTTTTATTTCTGACATTTATAATTGTTGTCAATTGTGAGGTAAATGAAAATGTTATGGAAATTTCAGAAAATGATACCACAGTTGAAAAGGCAAACTTTTTTAGCAAATTATCAAAACTTATTTTAGCTAAAGGTTTGAATTTTACATTTAATTTGATTACACATAATAATGACAATTCAAACAATGATACAATTGATGGTTACAATAATGATGATGATAATGATAATACTAATAATGTGATTAATGACAATACCGATGCAGACAATGACAATATTATTACTGATGAGCCAATTCTATATATTAATCAAGAATCAGATATTACATCTGATAGCGGATCCAATCAACCAATAATTAGTAGTAAATCCTATAAAGATATTGATTTTAACAATGAAACTGAATTATTCAAAGACGATAACCAAACTGAAAGTAAATCTAAAGTATTAACTGACACTAATAGTCCAGTTAGTAGTAGTAGTGATGGTGATGGTGATGGTGATGGTGGTAGTGGTAGTGGTAGTAGTAGTAGTAGTCATGAATTATCAACTACTAGTGTATCGATTTTTGAAAAATACTTTGGAAACAAAGCCAATGATGAAGAAATGGATAATGAATTTGAAGATAAAGAAAAAAATATTGTAAAATTGGTAAACAAAATAACAACTCAATTGAAACATCAAAACAATGACAATCAAACTGAAGACATCCATCAGAAGAGTTACCACCGAAAACACAATCAATCATATGATGATAATCACCAGGAAATACAAGATGACAGCAATTCAGTAACACTAAAGTCTAATGAATCTAACAGTTTGTTAGTGAATCAATCAACGGGACAGTCTATCGAAGATAATATAGCAAATATTACATCAAAAAGTAAGACAATAAATATAAAACATTTATATTGAATCATTAATGATAACAAATATATATATATATAATTAATTATTATTTATTTATATGATATGATATTATAAAAATCAGTTGATGATGATATGCCAAAATCAACTAATGGATCAATATTTGCAAACCTAATCGATGACAATAATATAAATGTATTTTATAGCTATGCCTTAATTGGTCTATTTTTCAGTGTATTGGTTTTGCTGTTAATATTTGCATATATAAAATGCGACAATAAAAATGATTTTATTGATAATAATAATAAAGTTTATGCCAATTATAGTAACTGTCCTAAAGATGAAGAACTGTTAGATGATATGGATGTCGACACCACCGAGTCTTATACTTTGAGTAAATCGCGAAACAGAAAATATAATAGTTATTTATCAAAGTTTAAGACCTACTTTACTTCACATATTGACTGAAAATGTTTTGTTTTTTATAAAAAAATAAAATCATATTTAATGTCTAATATTGTATTTTTAAATACATGATTTGTATTTTCTATATTTAGTCTAAACATAATATTATCAATATTTAGTTTATTATGTTTATTATTGTTATTATGGTTACTAAACAATATCAACTATACAAATACATATACCGGTATATACTATATATATATATACCTTATCTGTTATCAATTGTTTTTCAATTATAACTATAAATCTTATTTTAGAAAAATATGGTTTTGATATTTATTAACATTTGTGATATAGTTGTAGACAAATAATTATATTAAAAAAATTACACTATTTTTAAGTATTTTAATTATTTTTAAAGCATATCATTTCATTAGAAAAAAATCTATTAGTTTTTACAAAATATTTTCAATCAGAATTTGGTATATTATTTCCACATATGATTTCAATACTATATATGAAAATTATAACTAAAAATTGTTTATTAAAAAATATTTTTTCAATATAAAAATTAATTTTGTTATTTTAATATATCGAAAATATGAAGTACCGGTAATTTGAAACTTAATATAAATAAATATATATATAAAAAACCATAAGTGTCTCTATTCAGCCATTTAGTTAATAATAACAAAAAATTATCATTAGTTTTAATCATAAATAAAATTACTGACTATTAAAACGAAAATTGTGTTTAAATATTAACAAAGAAGAGTTGAATTAACAATAAAATGAAAATTATTTTATTGTTAAGTTTTCTATTGATTATAAACTTTGCGTTCACTCGTCAAACAAGTGACAACCAGACGGCGGCCAAAGTGGTCGACAACAATGGATCGGCAACAACACCGACACCACCAACTGTCTCAGTGGTCGGAAAAGCAGAAAAATTGCCGTCAAAATCGCTGATCGATCAGTTCATAGATGATTCGCTTCAGATGCCGTTTTTTACCGATAAGGATAAAGAAGAGACAAACAAAATGTTGGCCAAACATCGGGAATCAATCGAGTCTTTCGAAAAGACAATGAATGAACATCAAAAAGAAATGGACAAAAACATGAATAACTTTCAAAAGAATTTTCAACCATTTTTCAGTCCGTCAATCGCTATCAGTCTCGACAGTATTGGCCCGAATGATATCAAATCAGATGACAATAATGTCAAACAATCACAATCCCAATTAACATCAAGAGACACCAAATCAGATGATAATGTTTTATGGGAATCGATCCACGATTTCGGCAATCATGAGAAACCGTTAGCTCAGATAATGTTTGATGTGGACATCAATTTCGACAACAGTAGTATCAATGGCACAGAAGCAGAGCAGATGAAGTCACCGATAAGTAAGATTGTCGACACATTGTTTGGATCGTTTGTCCAAAACTTAGATGACGTCTTTGCCAACATTGGTCTCAAAGAGAAGAACAGTGTTCACACAAATAACACTGAGACCGGAGATGACGGTTTGATGGTTAATGGAATGATAATGATTGATTGCAAGTGTCCCGATGGACAACACGGCGTACATGAAGAGGACTGTCCAATGAGCAAAAACCATACGGTGTCTGAAAATGAAAAGAAAACATTATTGTCCGACAATTACGACGACGAGATACCGTCTCCGGGCGATTTGGTCAGAGATGCGGACGGCACTGGTATGTATGGCGTCGGGTACAAGTACTATACATATTGTACTAATATGATATGTTGATATCCAATCAAATTTTAGTGCATCTTTTGGCTGTCTTGAATAAGAAAACGGGACAACTCATGTCCATCAATGATCTTAACAAACAAATCAATAACAAATCTCCAGTTGTGAAGAACGGTAATCCAAACATTGCTGTTGGCTATGGTTTTAAAGAGGAGATCAAACTGGTTTCGTCCAATAGTGACGACTATAAATGGTACGATTGGTTACTAATGTCTATGATTGTCGTCACATCCGTACTGTTGATGGCTACGGCACTATCATTGTGTTGCAAACGGTTCCGCCGATCCAAGAGTGCCAAACTCGCCGATATTCTCAGCAAAGTCGAGAGAGAGACGGTTAAGACCGAGAATATCTATTCAACCACTGATTCCGTCAAAAATGAAAACTTTAATCAAATAGGTATTGAAAAGATTAAAACAGTTTTAAGTAATATGAAATAATATTATAAATCAAATGTTTTATATTAATCAGTTAGAAATTAGTCGAATAATCTTTAAATAAATAATAATCATCTAAAAAAATTTCAAATAATTTTTATTATAATATATAATTGTTTAAAATATTAAATTTTTTTTATGTATATCAATATTATGTAATTCGACTTAGAATTTCAAGCAATTATTTACTGTAATGTATAAATGTTTGATTGATATATGAAATTAATAAAAATTTTCATACTATAATATATAATTTATTAAATAGACTATAGTTAAATTTTAATTTTTAATAAAATTTTAAAGCCTATATTATCCTGTTTATTACAAATATTATTGTAATAATAATAATAGTTATTATAAAAAAAATTATACACACAAAAATATACTATGTATTCACGTATTAAATAATCGTCCTTGTAACTATTTTAATCATTGTAAAACAGCAAAACAGTTTTAAAACAATAATTTTTTAACTCAATCATTATATACTGTATATAATGATTAAGTTATCGAAAATATATATATAAATAATTTATATTACGATAAATTAAGAGTAATACAGTATTATATATCATATGATAATACGCCAGTAGTTAATAGACATTCCTTGTTTGATGTGCTGTACGAGAGCTACCCTTTTGGCCTCACATTCCTTGTATTTAGACTGAACTTTGCGCTTCACTTGCATACAGACATCCTTTTTGATACCATAGGGCGCCTCCTTAAGTAGTACATTGGACAGACTGGTAGTCATAACATCTAAATCTTTTAAACGCTTGGAGTACTCAATCAAATCGCCTCTGGCATAGTATTGAAAGACATAGCAATACATTAGGGTTTGCCGGCAGTGACACAACACAGTAAACGCCGACTTCAGAAACTTGAGACTCGTACGGAACTCCTTGTCTTTGACTGTCCGCTCCATTTTTAGGGCAACTGATTCTTGCAATTGTCGTTCAATCGATAACTGTTTGGTCTGTCGCTGGTAGGCCTCCTTGAATAAGGGAAACGAATTCATATTATCTTTGTACAGATGATCGGCATTTTGGGCTTCAATGGCGTCGTTTTCATTCCGTCCGAGACATCTTCCGTGCGAACATTTGCCCAAACAATTGTAACAAAACTGATGCCGACATTTGCTGCACATTACGTAATTACATCCGCCATTCTTTTCTATTGGAAACTTACACTTTGGACAACATTTCGTGTGTTTGGTCAGCCATTTAGCTGACTTGGGATCAATTGCCTGACTCGCATACTTTTGAACCCAATTTTTGAAGAGATCGCACGTAAGTGGTTCGTGCCATTGATCGCCACACGAAAAACAGAATACAGTTTTGCAAACACATTCAATGTCTTGAGGACCGGCGTACTTGACTTTAACCGCATGAAGACACGATCCATTGGGACACCAACGCAATCCTTTGCCTTCCGAAGCTATAAACTTGTTGGATATGAGTCGCCGATATTTATCGGCAATAGCAGTGTCCTGAATAATACTAAGAATATGGTCGTCGTCCATAATATTATTACAGTTATCTCCAGGACAGGTGATTTGATCGGCATTGGAACTGTCGTTAACATGTGTTACAATATATTGGTTCCAACAGTCGATGCATAGAAAGTGATCACAATTGGCGCCAAACATTTCCAATTTATTGAGCTCATCGTAACAAACTAGACATGTCTTAAGCTCATCAGTTTCAAAATTATTATTATTATTATTATTACTACTATCGATAGATACCACACTTTGGGCTTCAGTTAATGTTTGACTATTCTCACTGTCGTCTCTTTGGCTAATTGTTTGGTGAAACGTCTTAAGTCGTTTGGCAGTATTAAATCTAAGCTCATAGTTGATGACTATCTTAAAGTGGTCGAGAATCAGTTTAATGTCACGCTTATGATCGAAGTAATCCGAAACCAATTGGTTTGGATTCCAGTTATAGTGATTCAACAGAACACGAATTGCAGTAAATGATAATCCGGTCGTCAAATGTGTTGGTCTCAGTCTATATCTCATTAAGTCTATCACCTCAGTTGGTGTCAATATCTCGGATAACACTTCAATATCTGTGTCCACATCGACATCGTTATCGAAAATTTTCACTTTAATTATCTCGACGTCATTGTTATCAACAGTAGTCTCATTATCACAGGTAATCACTTCGTCGTTATCGTCATCGCTGGACAAGTCATACAAAGTGATAGTTTTAGAGTAGTTTGTGACCACTGTTTGCGGTAATGCGACGTTTGATTTATTATCCAATAATATAATTAAATAATAGCATTAATAATAGTTTTATTATCAATTTATATAATAAAAATGATAAGACCTGTCACTTCATGTCTATAAATAAACAATGAAATACCTGTTTGTTTGAGTAAATTATCTCTATTGTCGTTATCATTTGGATTAATGCCATCAACGACACTACTCAGACCACTGGCACCACTGTTCACGCTTTCAATGTAAATGATATCTAAAGAAATTTATAAAATAAAATAAAAATCCATAAAAAAATATATTTAAAAATATATAAAAGTTGTTATAAAACATATGTCAACAAATACCTGAGTCCACACTTTGTTGATGATTATCGTTGTCATTACCGAAACATTTGTGACCGATATTTGTGTCCATATTGTTGAACAATGAGTTTCGGCTCAAATCAATGGCCATATTGTTAGTTATGGTTAAATAGTCATCTGATTCGTACATCCATTTGCCAATCGATACTCTTGGCTGCGGATACTGACTATCAGGAACYGGATTTAAGATAGTCTTATTGTTATTGTTTTTRTTATTATGGTTRACATTCAACGTCTTGCGACTACAATGTGGTAAAACTGTAGGTTTCATCCAAAAAAAAAAAAAAAATCCATAGATCCAGATGTTATGCCATATCATCCAAATGTCCAATTAATTAGTCATTYAAATGTCATAATATTAGACAAACAAAAACAAAGAAAAAAAAGTAATACATTAGTAATCATAAAACTATTTGACTTTTTATTATAACATATCATATTTAATACATAGACACCAATAGTTTAATCATACCATCACTTATGGCACCAGTAGATGATGATGATGTGGTAGTGGTTATTACAACACCACTGTTGTTGTTGATGTTGTCATTGTTGTCAATGAGTGCTGGATCATCATCGGTGGTCACCAATTGTTGTTGACTACTAGTACTACCACTACTACTACTACTATTTGTCTTCATATTTTTTGTTGTATTAATTTAATAATAATAACTATTATTATTATTATTATGTGTTTCAAAGTTAAACAATGTCTAGTCGTTAGTCACCAACAAAACAAAAAAATAGACACAAATTTATAGTAATAGTAATAATAATCATATAATAAGACACACAATAATAATAATAACTGTTTTTTTGTTTAATTAGTTTATGACAACAACCAAAAATCCCATTGATTTTGAATGCGAAACACAATTAATTGGTTTAAATACTCAATAATATAGACAAACAAACAAAATATGTTACAATATATTAATATAAATTGATATACATATCAAACATTTAAACAAAAAATTATTATTTAATTATTTAAAAAAAAACTGTTTAAATAATATGATTATAATTTATTTTATTTTTGTATTTAAATTAACTATTCATATAATATACTCTATATTTGTTTCTTATTAAATAATAATTTCATATCAATAATAGTAATGATATGATCAGTCAGTTAGTTAGTCATTGACAACAATAACACTTTATTATTAGTATTATTATTACACAATACATAGTATATACTCAACAGTATATACAATATATTACTAACACTATTACATACTTTACTCTACACTATTGATAATAATATAAGTGTGTAATAATAATAATAATATATTGTAAACACATGTATGTGTTGTTGTAGTCATTGACAAAAAAAACTAATTTTCATTATAAGACATATATTTTGTTGTCTGCTATTTATTTATTACATTCTAGTATTATATTGTTTGCATTATTTTTGTCGACACACTGTATTCGCTTTATAGGTTCGAATGAATCAATAGTTTAGAATTTCATAGTACAGTATAGTAACCGAAATTAAACACACATTTAGATGTATATACAGTGTGTGTGCATTGTTTGCATCAAATTTTTTAATATCGCAATCATTTACACATAAATAACGCAAAATGTGAAAATATTTTGTAAATATTTTTTTGTTATTTATAACCTATTTATTATTATTATTATTAATGGTATAATTTAATTAAATTTCATTTAAAAAAACTTATGTTTGATGTCATCATTAAGTATTTTTTTTCTAAATTTTAAATTGTTTTTTTTTGTTTATTGACTATAAGTTTAAGATCTGATTTAAGTTTTACAAACTAATGCAAACTGTATAACTAATTTGACAATAATTATTATACATATTATTTTGTTCAAATTATTAATAAATAAATATATATATTTCATCATGGTTTAATTTTATTTCATTAATGTTTAAAACTTTAATCTATTGAATTGAATATAAATAAATAATTAACAAAAATATGCAATTTTTATTTTATAGTACCGTATTAGTTGATTTGTATTATTCATATTGGAAATTAAAATACTAAAATAACTGAAACCTAAAATTATTTGTTTATCTATCTATACATTTAAATTTTTCATACAATATTTATTATTAATTTATATAAAGTATGTTAGTAGTAATACTATAGTTTTGTATTAATAGTATAAATTGTTGAAATTATGAAAATTGCAAACATAGTATGATTGAAGTCATGAAATTTTTAATTGAAATTATATTTAATATTTAGTAATGTTTGCCAAATTGGCAATTGTATGCTTATGTATAATCTCTGTGCTTTATATATATATTTATATAAACTTATGATAAGCACCGACAGCATCATCAGCAACAGCACATTCACAATAGACAGATACTGTTATATTTAGCTACTCTTACCATCAAATAGTTGATGCAAATTATAAATAGTCTTTAGTATAATATATGGTATATTTTGAAAAATATATATCAAATCTCCATATAATTCCATACAATTATACGATACAACTAATGTAACACAAGTGTATAACTTGTTTGTTTAAATATTACAAATATATATTCTTATATTTAATAAATTATTTATATTAGAAAAATAATAACTAAAAACTTATGTTTTAGTAAATTTTAAACAAAAATTATAGTTAATACAATTTTGTTTTTGTATTAAAAAAAAGTACAAATTTGTTGAATTTAATTGAAAATAAAATGCAACCACAAAACAATCCGACGACAACAACAACAGTATTTCATTATGATATCAGTCCCGATGATATAATACCGCAAACAAAATGTTTTAAATTTGTTAAATACTCGTTGATTACGGCAATAGTTATATTGATATCGATGGCACTTATCGTACTAATAATAGCTGAAACCAAGTCTAAAGAAAAAATGTTTCTCAGTTTGGGTATCGTTTCGCTGGTAATTAAAATGAATTTTTTTTATGATTAAAATGGTTTATTTATTTGAACTTAATTTTTTTTAAATTTAAATTTTAGGTGGGAGTCATTGTTTTCACAATAGGTTTGTTGGCCATAATCAAGGAGAACATACCGTCGGTGATGATCTTTGCTGTGGTCAACATATTTTATTTGCTACTATTTATGTACTCACGAGTGCTAACGAGTCCCGGTTTGATAGTATTTCGTACACTAGTATTGCTATTGTTGTCCATCGAGTCGCTATGTTTTGCAATTATGATCAGAGATTGGCGTCAATTACAGCAATCAAAAATCAATGCCAAAGTGTTGGCCGCAGCCAACCATCAAATCTATAGCAACCCCTATGGCGGCGGACAAGCCGTCTATGGTTATCAGTATTATACGAGTGCCACCAATCAAAATGTTAATAATGTATGAATAAATATTATATTAGATTAACTTTAAATTAAAAAACCGTAAATTAACTTTAATGATAACTTTAATAATAATAATAATGACAAAAAATAATTATAAAAATTATAACAAAAATAACTTGTTATATGAAAAAAATGATAATTAAATAAATTAATGTGATAAAATAATTATACAATAATAATAAATTAACATATAGAAAGAGAGCATTGTTGAACATTTAGGTAACTAGAATTAAATTAAACAAAATAAAATTATCTAGATAATTTTAAATTATAATTGTTCTAATTTATTATATTTAATTGTTAAATTTAAAAAACATATATATTCTATTATTATTATATATATATTATACCAAACCGTGTATTTAACAAAACAAACAATTACATTTTATTATAATAAAAGTGATACTGTTCAATTTAAATAGTATGTACCACTTCGACCAGTTGTCTTAAAAGTACCGGGAATGCCATTTTCCATGTCTGTGCCAATCACTGCTGAACCGGTAGATCCTCTAAAACCTGGCCAATGTACTGACTCTGTACGTACAGTTCCACCATTTTTAGCCGGACTACCATTGGCAGCCGTACCGTTAGCATCGGTAGTATTGTCAGTGGACGGTTGCAATTGTTCTTGTTGTAGTTGTTTGTCTAAATAGATAAGATACAGTTCCCGGGACAGGGATGCCTGAGTATAGAGTATAGCTGTCCATGCGATCATCAATATGTTGATCGCTATTAACTCCAACACATTAAGTCTAAATTTGCCGACAATAATGTCAATTAATGTGAGCAATATATTCACAAAAAACATGGAGAAAGTGATGGCACACAAACATCCCGACCCAATGCCCACAATTAACAGCAGTATAACTGGTCTGACAACGGGATGATGAATGTGGACGGCTATTATGGCCAGCGGACAGATGACCAACAATGACAAACATATTACTTGAATCAATCGTCTTTCGATGAGCTGATCGTTGATAGCGTGTGTATTGAATGGTAACAAACATAACAATAGTATGGATAGTATTATCAGCGACAGTGAAATGCATGTGATATTGAATTTGCGTTTTATATCTTCATTATCAAAGTTTGTCGTGACTTTTATTACAAAAGGCATTATTTATTTATTAATATTTATATACCGGTATATAAAGTATATAACAAAACAAAATTTTTGTCACTAAAAAATATATATATATATAAATTAATATTAATTTAATTGACAAAATTGTTAACTAATTTATATCATATATAGACAATATTGTTTTGCATCCGCATACTATATACTGATTATATGTAAATTACTTTTTATAATTATTATTATATTACAAGTTGAAAATTATTATCACAAAACATTTCGCATACCGTATAAAAATACTGTATATTTATTTATATTAAAAATGTTTCAAAACTGCATCAAATAATTTTTTTTAATAGTCTTATAATTAAAGTTAATCACTGTATATAACTGTTAATATTATTAACAATTGTCAATTGTAAAAATAAGATTACAACTAACTTGTTTTGCATGTCATAGCAATTTAGTAATTATTATTATTTGACAAAAAGCTATTGACAATAACTATCAGTATAATCAAAACAATTTGCACAAACATTAGGATTGGTATGCCGTAAAAGAGAGAGGGATTGCCATTTAAAAACAATCATTTTCTCTTAACTGGTAATACCATACAAACAGTGCGTTTCTTAAGCTACAGATGTGAGTCCACACCAGAGAGAAAGCACATCCTCTTTCAGAGAGAAAGAGAGAGAGAGAGAGAGAGAGAGAGAGAGAGAGAGAGAGAGAGAGAGAGAGAGTTAGAGAGAGAGAAATGTTGCTTTCCTTGAAAGACGACTTTAAATATAAAGCCACAAATATATACACATATCTTGTTATACACTGTTTTATACTGATGTGAATACACTATAAATATCTCTTATATCAAACAAACACCAGTTATATATTGGTATTTAATACTTAGTATAGTATATCATAATTGACTATCAGTTGGGAAAATCTAATTGACAATTGAAAAAATTAATAATAAACTGTTTGCAATTGAATTTAGATTATTTTACTTTAATTTTCATCAAAATTTCTAACTTTACACATAACTATTACAGTAAATAAAATTTATAATAGATATGTTTAACTAATTTTTATTCAAAACTATGTATTTATCATTATTTTTATAAGTTTTAAACTAAGTTATAACAAAAATAAATTGAAAGTAATAAATATAATGAAAATTACTTACAGTATTTCATCCATTAGTAAAAATTAGTTTAGTTTAACTTAAATAAAAAAAACTTATAAAACTTTAAATTTTAAATAACTACAATATTTTGTTTCAACATTTTTTTTAATGATTTAGTTTTGAAATTATTTGTCATACACATTATTAAATTAGAAAATATATATCACAGAATATTAATTAATTTTATTGTCAACAATTAGTATATAAATGTATAGTATTGCGACAAAAATTTAGTTTTACAAAAAAAACTGTTAATTAAGGACCAGTGGTGGTGATGATGATGAACGACAGTCGTCAGCGGACGGCTCATAGTCGCCGCCATCCGAGACATTCATTTTGCTGATAACATCTTTGAGTGCCAACGAAATCATAGTCAACAAGTATAAGCCAATTGTGATTACGATGGGCGCGATAAACGGCAACAATTGCATTTGGACGGTTAGATATAGATAGATAAGAGCACCGACTATTATGATCATTGATATGACAAACAGTATACCCATTATGACACCAAATGTGGTCAATAGGATAACAGAGTTGCCAATTGATGAAAATATGCCCAACAATAGTATGAATATAAGCGAAACACACATAAAGGCAATGGATGTCGAAAATTCTGTATAGAATATTCCGGATTCTGATTGTGAACTATATATTAGATATACTGTTATCATTAACATCGCTAATGATATAGAAATTAATGAATATTTTAAATAATAGTATTGTCTCGGAATCGACATCTTTGACACCAATAATTAAATAATATTTATAAGTCTTTAGCAAACAATATGTTATTATAATTGGTGTGATTTAATATCTTATTGTTTGAACTAATATATATAAAAAACACTGATTTTGTTGTCACTCATATAAATGGCTCATTGACTCATGAAATATGGTAAACAAACCTTAATATAATATTTTAGTTGCAATAATAATAATACTGTAGTTAAGGTATGTATATCTAACTGCGCCGACACACACACACACACACACACACACTGTTTCTAACAACAAACATGTTTTTCTGTGATGACAATCCCTACCAGAGACTAACTGCACTGAATTAATACAGTAATGTATTGATGTTTTATTGTTGTCTGAACTAAAATTATTGCTATTAGTAATCATACAAAAAATTGTTTACAACAAATAAAAACAATTAATATATTTTTTGTAGTATAATATGTTTACAAAATTATTTTTAATGTTACAATTGGTCTAACAAACAAATTTAATTTTTATTTTCTAAAATTATTATTAGTTACATATTATTTTATGAATATATTTATTTTAATATATAAAGTTTTAGATATGACAATAATTATATTAAAAATTAAAAAAATAAATAATTTATATTAAATATATATAATATAACAAAATGCACAATAAAAACATATAAAATAACAATTTCATTTAAAAAATTAAATAAAAAAAATATTTTGAAATATAATGTATTTATAAATTTAAGTATAAATTATTTTTTAATATCGATTATTAATGTTTCGCTTTTAATCATAAGACAAAACATATAGATTAGTATAAAAATGATTTGATGTATAATACTGGAGAACATCGACGGTCGACATAAAAGAAATACCATAACAACAAACAATACAATCAGTGCAATGGTATGACCGGAACCGGTCCGGTGTTTGTGACCAATGATGACACCGACCAGTAAAGTGATGTCAGCGGTCAGTACGAGAATGGCGTGAAATACACGAAGTGTTGTATAGTTTTCGGCGATTGAGTTCTCGACAGCAATCATAGTGTTTGTCTGATTACTGTTATTGTTGTCATTGTAATGGATATACTGAGGATTATCACCACTAATGGCTATCAAAAGAGTGGCCAAACACGAGATAATAAGTGAAATGTTGAGTAAATGAGATATTATATTAGGTTTTAATCGCTGCGGTATTATAGTTGCCATTATATAAAGAATATTCTGTAAAAAATAATGAAATAAATTGTGATAAGTCTGAATAACGATGTTTTGAAAGACAATTATAGAAATAATCTAAGAGTAGATAGTCATACATATTGAGAAAACAATGAAAACCAGTTGAGAATGCTAGAAAAAACTGACGTCATAAAATTTGATACACCACATGACTATAGTTGAGTTTATTTAAACATACTGAGTCATTTAATATCTTAGATGACTAAACTTGAGTATTATTTGTCATACTGTATCATTATTAACTCCCCTTTATCAAAATATTTTTTAATGATTCAGTATAACTAAACTCCAGTGATATAGGATATCAAATAACTAAGTGTGGCAAAATAAACTAAATTATTTGTCATGTGGGGTATCTAATAACTCAATAATAAAACAAAAATAATTTACACAAATAACAGTTTAATCCAAACTATTCAAATACAAAAACAAAATTAATTTACACTAATAACAGTTTAATCCAAACTATTCAAATACAAACACAAAAATAATTTACACAAATAGCAGTTTAATCCAAACTATTCAAATACAAACACAAAAATAATTTACACTAAAAACAGTTTAATCCAAACTATTGAAATACAAACATAAAAATAATTTACACTAATAACAGTTTAATCCAAACTATTCAAATACAAACACAATAATAATTTACACTAAAAACAGTTTAATCCAAACTATTCAAATACAAACACAAAAATAATTTACACTAAAAACAGTTTAATACAAACTATTCAAATACAAACACAAAAATAATTTACACTAAAAACAGTTTAATCCAAACTATTCAAATACAAACACAAAAWTAATTTACAATAATAACAGTCTAATCCAAACTATTCAAATACAAACACAAAAATAATTTACAATAATAACAGTCTAATCCAAACTATTCAAATACAAACACAAAAATAATTTACAATAATAACAGTCTAATCCAGACTATTGAAATACAAACACAAAATTAATTTACACTAAAAACAGTTTAATCCAAACTATTGAAATACAAACACAAAAATAATTTACAATAATAACAGTCTAATCCAAACTATTCAAATACAAACACAAAAATAATTTACACTAATAACAGTTTAATCCAAACTATTGAAATACAAACACAAAAATAATTTACACTAATAACAGTTTAATCCAAACTATTCAAATACAAACAAAAATAATTTACACAAATAACAGTTTAATCCAAACTATTCAAATACAAACACAAAATTAATTTACACTAAAAACAGTTTAATCCAAACTATTGAAATACAAACATAAAAATAATTTACATTTTAAAAACAGTTTAATCCAAACTATTCAAATACAAACACAATAATAATTTACATTAAAAAAGTTTAAAATAATATTCAAATACAAACAATATTTGAATATTAAAAATAATTTTTACACTAAAAACAGCATTTAATAAAATATTCAAATATTCAAACACAAAAATAATTTATTTAAAAACAGTTTTAAAATATTCAAATACAACCACACAATATTTAATTTACAATAATTATAATTAAAATAATATTCAAATACAAACACAAAAATAATTTACATATTATTTTAATTATAATTTTAATCCAGACTATTTGAAATTATTTAAATAACAAAATAATTTACATTAAAAACAGTTTAATCCAAATTATAATTTTTAATAAATACAAACCACAAATAATAATTTTACAATTTAATATTATTTTAATTTTAAACAAATTGTAAATACAAATATTATTTAAAAAATTAATTTACACTAAATACATTTAAAATTAATCCATAATATTCAAATACAAACACAAAAATAATTTGACATATTAAATTTTAATTAAATATTGAAATGCACAAATATTTACATTGTATTTGAATATTATTTAAAAATTTTAAAATAATATTCAAATACAAACAAAAATAATTTACACATTTAACATTTAATTTTAAAATAATATTCAAATACAAACCACACAATATTTGCATTTAAAATTATATTATTAATAAAAAATTTTATAATCCAAACAAATATTCAAATACAAACACAAAATTATTTAAAAATAATTTAGTTTTTAAAATAATATTCAAATACAAACCACACAATATTTAATTTAAAATTATAATTAAAAAATATTATAAAAACTATTTAAATATTTGTAAATAATAAAAAAAATAAACACTAAAAACAGTATTTACAAAATTAAATACAAACACAAAAATAATTTGAACATTATTTTAAAATTTAATTAAAATAATATTCAAATACAAACACAACAATATTTACATTTAAAATTATAATTAAAATAAATTCAAATATTCAAATATTAAATTATAATTAAAATAAATTCAAATATTTGTGGTTTGTATTTGAATATTAACAATTTAATTAAAATAATATTCAAATACAAAACACAATATTTGAATTTAAAATAATTATAACTAAAAACAGTTTAATAATATTCAAATACAAACATAACAATATTTACATTAAAAATTATAATTAAAATAATATTCAAATACAAAACACAATAAATATTATTTAATTATAATTTTAAACAAATAGTTTAATCCAAATTATTCAAATACAAACACAAAATTAATTTACATTAAAAAATTTAATTAAAATAATATTCAAATACAAACCACACAATATTTAATTTATTTTGAAACTAATAAAATAATTTAAACCAAACTATTGCAAATATAATATTCAAATACAAACCACACAATATTTGAATATTATTTTAAAATTTTTAWATAATATTCAAATACAAACCACACAATATTTGCATTTAAAATTATAATTAAAATAATATTCAAATACAAACCACACAATATTTGAATATTATTTTAATTATAATTTTAAATGCAAATATTCAAATACAAACACACAATTTGAATATTATTTTAAAATTTTAATTAAAATAATATTCAAATACAAACCACACAATATTTAATTTATTATAAAAATAATTAATGCACAAATTTATTCAAATACAAACACACCACAATATTTGCATTTAAAATTATAATTAAAATAATATTCAAATAACACAATATTTGTATTTAAATATTATTTTAATTATATTTTAAAATAATATTCAAATACAAACCACACAATATTTGCATTTAAAATTTTAATTAAATTTTAATATTCAAATACACAATATTTGCATTTAAAATTATAATTTAAAATTGTTATATTTATATTATTTTAATTATTTAAATGCAAATATTTCAAATACAAACACAAATATTATTTAAAATTTTTAAAATAATATTCAAATACAAACCACACAATATTTGCATTTATTTTAATTAAAATAATATTCAAATATTGTGTATTTGTATTTGAAATTACACAATATATTTGAATATTATTTTAATTATAATTTTAAATGCAAATATTGTTGGTTTGTATTTGAATATTATTACAAAATTTTAAAATAATATTCAAATACACAATATTTGCAATATTATAATTAAAATTATAATTAAAATAATATTCAAATACAAACCGCACAATATTTGCATTTAAAATTATAATTAAAATAATATTCAAATACAAACCACACAATATTTGMATATTATTTTAATTATAATTTTAAATGCAAATATTGTGTGGTTTGTATTTGAATATTATTTAAAAATTTTAAAATAATATTCAAATACAAACCGCACAATATTTGCATTTAAAATTATAATTAAAATAATATTCAWATACAAACCACACAATATTTGCATTTAAAATTATAATTAAAATAATATTCAAATATTGTGTGGTTTGTATTTGAATATTATTTTAAAATTTTTAAATAATATTCAAATACAAACCACACAATATTTGCATTTAAAATTATAATTAAAATAATATTCAWATACAAACCACACAATATTTGCATTTAAAATTATAATTAAAATAATATTCAAATACAAACCACACAATATTTGAATATTATTTTAATTATAATTTTAAATAATATTCAAAATACACAATATTTGTATTTGAATATTATTTTAAAAATTTTAATTAAAATAATATTCAAATACAAACCACACAATATTTGAATTTAAAATTATAATTAAAATAATATTCAAATACAAACCACACAATATTTGAATATTATTTTAATTATAAATAATATTCAAATATTGTGTGGTTTGTATTTGAATATTATTTTAAATAATTTTAAAATAATTTACAAACCACACAATAAATTTAAAATTATAATTAAAATAATATTCAAATACAAACCACACAATATTTGCATTTAAAATTATAATTAAAATAATAAATTCAAATACAAACCACATTTGAATATTATTTAAAATTATAATTTTAAATGCAAATATTGTGTGGTTTGTATTTGAATATTATTTTAAAAATTTTTAAATAATATTTGCATTTAAAATTAGTAACCGCACAATATTTGAAATTATTTAAATAATATTCATAATTTGAATATTAACCACACAAATAAAATTTAATTAAAATAACAAAATATTGTGYGGTTTGTATTTGAGTATTATTTTAAAATTTTWAAATAATATTCAAATACAAACCRCACAATATTTGCATTTAAAATTATAATTAAAATAATATTCAAATACAAACCACACAATATTTGAATATTTTAAATAATTTTAAATGCAAATATTGTGTGGTTTGTATTTAAATATTATTTAAAAATTTTAAAATAATACTCAAATACAAACCGCACAATATTTGCATTTAAAATTATAATTAAAATAATATTCAAATATTGTGTGGTTTGTATTTGAATATTATTTTAATTATAATTTTAAATGCAAATATTTCAAATACAATTTGAATATTATTTAAAATTATAATTAAAATAATATTCAAATACAAACCACACAATATTTGCATTTAAAATTATAATTAAAATATTCAAATATATTTGAATATTATTTTAAAATTTTAAAAAATATTCAAATACAAAATTACAATATTTACATTTAAAATATTCAAATACAAACCACACAAATTTTATTATAATTATAATTTAATGCAAATATTTGAATATTTTATAATTTTAAAATAATATTAATACAAAACACATTATTTAATTTAAAATATTTAAAATAATACTCAAATACAAACCGCACAATATTTGCATTTAAAATTATAATTAAAATAATATTCATATACAAACCACACAATATTTGCATTTAAAATTATAATTAAAATAATATTCAAATATTGTGTGGTTTGTATTTRAATATTATTTAAAAATTTTAAAATAATACTCAAATACAAACCGCACAATATTTGCATTTAAAATTATAATTAAAATAATATTCAAATACAAACCACACAATATTTGCATTTAAAATTATAATTAAAATAATATTCAAATACAAACCACACAATATTTGCATTTAAAATTATAATTAAAATAATATTCAAATATTGTGTGGTTTGTATTTGAATATTATTTTAATTATAATTTTAAATGCAAATATTGTGCGGTTTGTATTTAGAATATTATTTAAAAATTTTAAAATAATAYTCAAATACAAACCGCACAATATTTGCATTTAAAATTATAATTAAAATAATATTCAAATACAAACCACACAATATTTGAATATTATTTTAATTATAATTTTAAATGCAAATATTGTATGGATTGTATTTGAATATTATTTAAAAATTTTAAAATAATATTCAAATACAAACCGCACAATATTTGCATTTAAAATTATAATTAAAATAATATTCATATACAAACCACACAATATTTGMATTTATTTTAATTAAATAATTTAAATGCAAATATTGTGGTTTGTATTTGAATATTATTTTAAAATTATAATTAAAATAATATTTACAAACCACAAATTATTTAAAATTATAATTAAAATAATATTTAAAAATATTTTGAATATTATTTTAATTTTTAAAATAATATTCAAATGCACAATATTTGCATTTAAAATTATAATTAAAATAATATTCATATACAAACCACACAATATTTGCATTTAAAATTATAATTAAAATAATATTCAAATATTGTGTGGTTTGTATTTRAATATTATTTAAAAATTTTAAAATAATAYTCAAATACAAACACAATATTTAATTTAAAATTATAATTAAAATAATATTCAAATACCACACAAATTTATTTAAAATTATTATTAAAATAATATTTACAAATACACAATATTTGAATATTATTTTAATTATAATTTTAAACCAAATATTCAAATACAAACCAAAAATAAATATTTGCATTTAAAATTATAATTAAAATAATATTCAAGTTTAAATAATATTCAAATACAAACACAATAAATTTTTAAAATTATTTTAATATTTATTTAAAATTATAATTAAAATAATATTCAAATACAAACCACACAATATTTGAATATTATTTTAAAATTTTWAAATAATATTCAWATACAAACCACACAATATTTGCATTTAAAATTATAATTAAAATAATATTCAAATATTGTGTGGTTTGTATTTGAATATTATTTTAATTATAATTTTAAAATAATACTCAAATACAAACCGCACAATATTTGCATTTAAAATTATAATTAAAATAATATTCATATACAAACCACACAATATTTGCATTTAAAATTATAATTAAAATAATATTCAAATACAAACACAAAATTAATTTATTTAAAATTATTTTAATTACAAATATTCAAATACAAACACAAAAATAATTTACATATTAAAATAAGTTTAAAATAATATTCAAATACAAACACAACAATATTTACACTTAAAATTTTAATTCCAAATATTCAAATACAAACACAAAAATAATTTACATAAAAACAGTTTAATCCAAACTATTCAAATACAAACACAAATTTAATTTACAAATTATAAGTTTAAAATACTATTCAAATACAAACACAAAAATATTTACATAAAAAAGTTTAATTAAAACTAATTCAAATACAAATTGTGTGGTTTAATTTACACAAATAAAGTTTAATCCAAACTATTCAAATACAAACACAAAATAATTTACATAAAAACAGTTTAATTAAAATACTATTCAAATACAAACACAAAATTAATTTAAATTAATAAAGTTTAAACCAAACTATTGAAATACAAACACAAAAATAATTTACACTAAAAACAGTTTAATCCAAACTATTTAAATACAAACACAAAAATAATTTACACTAAAAACAGTTTAATCCAAACTATTCAAATACAAACACAAAAATAATTTACACTAAAAACAGTTTAATACAAACTATTCAAATACAAACACAAAAATAATTTACACTAAATTATGCATTTGTTTAATACAAAACTATTCAAATACAAACACAAAATTAATTTACACAAATAACAGTTTAATCCAAACTATTTCAAATACAAACACAAAAATAATTTAATTAAAAAATTTAATCCAAACTATTCAAATACAAACACAAAATTAATTTAAACTAATAACAGTTTAAACCAAACTATTCAAATACAAACACAAAAATAATTTACACTAAAAACAGTTTAATCCAAACTATTTAAATACAAACACAAAAATAATTTACACTAAAAACAGTTTAATCCAAACTATTCAAATACAAACACAATAATAATTTACACTAAAAACAGTTTAATCCAAACTATTCAAATACAAACACAAAAATAATTTACACAAATAACAGTTTAATCCAAACTATTCAAATACAAACACAAAAATAATTTACACTAAAAACAGTTTAATCCAAACTATTCAAATACAAACACAAAAATAATTTACACTAAAAACAGTTTAATCCAAACTATTCAAATACAAACACAAAATTAATTTACACAAATAACAGTTTAATCCAAACTATTCAAATACAAACACAAAATTAATTTACACTAAAAACAGTTTAATCCAAACTATTCAAATACAAACACAAAATTAATTTAAACTAATAACAGTTTAAACCAAACTATTGAAATACAAACACAAAAATAATTTACACTAAAAACAGTTTAATCCAAACTATTTAAATACAAACACAAAAATAATTTACACTAAAAACAGTTTAATCCAAACTATTCAAATACAAACACAAAATTAATTTACACAAATAACAGTTTAATCCAAACTATTCAAATACAAACACAAAAATAATTTACACAAATAACAGTTTAATCCAAACTATTCAAATACAAACACAAAAATAATTTACACAAATAACAGTTTAATCCAAACTATTCAAATACAAACACAAAAATAATTTACACAAATAACAGTTTAATCCAAACTATTCAAATACAAACACAAAAATAATTTACACTAAAAACAGTTTAATCGGTTAATCGGAAGTTTAAAGCCCAGTGATAAAACAGTGTTTTTTCAACGGAAAATGCTTGTTTTGGTCCTAAATAACATATTCCGATAAAAATAAAAGTGCGGAAACACCTAAAACCTACTCAAAACTGACCTAACATACCTGACCTGACATACATAGCATAACATTACAGTAATCTAACTAATTGTTATTGTAAGCGCGAGAATATTACTATTAATAAAACTTAATAATAATACATTATTTTTAGAACTAAGCGCGAGATTAATATTTTTAATATTAATTATTCGATAGAATAATTTTTTTTAAACCCCCAGTATTATATAGATTAGGTTAAGTTACCATTGAAAATAAGGTTAGGTTACGGATCGAACACCAGGTTAGGTAACGGAGCGAACACTAATACATTAGGTTAGATTATGTTAACATTTGTGTAATACCATTATAATTAGGTTATGGTTGCGGATCAAACACCAGGTTAGGTAACGGAGCGAACACTAATACATTAGGTTAGGTTATGTTAACATTTGTGTAATACCATTATAATTAGGTTAAGGTTGCGGATCAAACACCAGGTTAGGTAACGCGACAAACACAGATTCGGTAACCCCAGTACTGTATAGATTAGGTTAACATTGAAATTTAGATTAGGTTGAGAACGTACAACATGTTATTATATAATTATATTATGAAAATGTTTTTATAATTATTTTTTAATTGTTAATAATTATAATTTTTATTCTCGTGCTTTAATGCATGATTAATAATTTCTATATATTAAAGTTTGTTTTTTTACACTATGTTTATGTATGTCAGTTATGTTATGTTAGATTTGAGTAGGTTTTAGGCTTTTCCGCACTTTTATTTTTATCACTTAATGTTTTTTAGGACCCAAAAAAGTATTTTCCGTTGAAAAAACATTGTTTTATCACTGGGCTTTATACTTCCGATCGTAACATACTCAAATCTAACATAACATAACTGACCCCACATACATAAACATAGTGTAAAAAAACAAACTTTAATATATAGAAATTATTAATCATGCATTAAAGCACGAGAATAAAAATTATAATCCAAACTATTCAAATACAAACACAAAAATAATTTACACTAATAACAGTTTAATCCAAACTATTCAAATACAAACACAAAAATAATTTACACAAATAACAGTTTAATCCAAACTATTCAAATACAAACACAAAAATAATTTACACAAATAACAGTTTAATCCAAACTATTCAAATACAAACACAAAAATAATTTACACAAATAACAGTTTAATCCAAACTATTCAAATACAAACACAAAAATAATTTACACTAATAACAGTTTAATCCAAACTATTCAAATACAAACACAAAAATAATTTACACAAATAACAGTTTAATCCAAACTATTCAAATACAAACACAAAAATAAAAAATAAGTTTAATCCAAACTATTCAAATAACAGTTTAATCCAAACTATTCAAATACAAACACAAAAATAATTTACACTAATAACAGTTTAATCCAAACTATTCAAATACAAACACAAAAATAATTTACACAAATAACAGTTTAATCCAAACTATTCAAATACAAACACAAAAATAATTTACACAAATAACAGTTTAATCCAAACTATTCAAATACAAACACAAAAATAATTTACACAAATAACAGTTTAATCCAAACTATTCAAATACAAACACAAAAATAATTTACACTAATAACAGTTTAATCCAAACTATTCAAATACAAACACAAAAATAATTTACACAAATAACAGTTTAATCCAAACTATTCAAATACAAACACAAAAATAATTTACACAAATAACAGTTTAATCCAAACTATTCAAATACAAACACAAAAATAATTTACACAAATAACAGTTTAATCCAAACTATTCAAATACAAACACAAAAATAATTTACACAAATAACAGTTTAATCCAAACTATTCAAATACAAACACAAAAATAATTTACACTAATAACAGTTTAATCCAAACTATTCAAATACAAACACAAAAATAATTTACACTAATTTTATTTTTATTTTATTATTTCATACCGTCATATATAAGGATAAAGACGATGTGTATATAGCGGGACACATAATCGATGGCTGAAACCTGTTTCCTGGAACCGGTTATTTATTGTTAATATGGAAACACTTAGCCGCCTATCATAATACCGAATATTTTGAAGTTCCCGTTGAGTTTCGTGATGTAATCTTTCACAGGGCGACCATTATGCCGCCGAATCGCGAGATCAAATTAGCGACAACTATTGATACGACAAACGGCGACTTTGTTCTCACAGAAAACGGTACGGTTGTTGTCACCGGTAATATTCAGTTTCTGAAAACGGGTCTCGAGTTTCAGTACTATTTGGATGAGAATTCGTATCGCATTCGCAAAGACGAAAATCTAGTATTCAAGAAACGAGACATCTATACTGGTCTTCGACTCAGAGGCTATGATTACGGACCAAGTTTTCAGTGCGTTTCTGAGGCTTTCGTTGAGGACAGAAAAGTCAAGGCATTGATTGAGTGGACAGATAATTGGGAGGTTTTTGCCGACAATATAATTCAAATTAGTATACTCGGCGTCGATACTAAAGGGCTGTTTATTCCTGTAAAGTTGGATCTGTTACGAGTCGATCCGAAACTGTTACTCCAAGAAGTGGCCACATTGGGTGGTGAAACGCCACATCTAGAAGCCTTCTTCGACTACGACACCCGTATATGTGTGACCAAAGGTCTCGAATTTAGAGGAATGAAGGCAAACATAATTCAACGAAATCTTGGCTTAACTTCAGTAGTTGTTGGAGACTATAGTTTTCAACGATTTGATGGACTCATTGAAAACTATGACACTTACGATGACGCGGAACAGATCAAAGATTATGTCGAATGTTGTGAGAAAATGGCTGAAAATTTGAGGAAAAAGTTTGATTTGTTGCGGCCAACAAATGAGTCAACAGTTCTGACAACAATGAAAGATATGGATTGTATTATCTATAAGAATGACAACAACGATGGCATCAATTTAGTCGAATTGTGTCAATCGATTTGGGATTCATTGAAATCAAACGGTTTCTTTCAGATTGTTTTCAGATCTTGTTTTACTTCCAGCGAAAAGCTGATCCGTTCATTGCTTAACCAGAAGTCACACACAATGAACGCTAAAACGATTAGATCAAAGGCAGAAAAGTGTGCAACGCCACAATAAACCGGAGGGCGAAAACTTGTGGCTAATTGCTGACGACACTTCCAAAAATGGTATCCTCGGATTGGTCTGTAGTTTGAGGCGCGAAGTTAACGGTCAAAGAGTTCGATGTATTTTTAATTTTAATGGGACTTTTAAAGGCGATCTGATCCACGATAAACAAACATTAGTTGATATAATGAGCAAAGATTTGGTTTACAATGTCTATCGCGACAATCATTGGGGATATTATAAACCAAATGTTATGCAATCCATCTATAAGAGTATACTAACAGATCACTGTTATCTGAATACAAGTACTAAAGGAGATCTATCGAGTCTTAAGTGGTATGAATGTCAACATAAGAATTGGCCGATCGGTCGCAAAGATAACCAGATTATGTGTCGCATCTATTATTCGGCACTCAATTTTAGAGACATTATGTTGGCCACGGGTAACGATCATTAGATACTAATATAACTAATAATAATATAACTAATAAACTATAAATAGAATATTTAATTTATAATAATTTCTCTAATTATAGGTCGACTACCGCCCGACGCTTTGCCCGGAGATATGGCACTACAGGACTGTATACTTGGATTAGAATTTTCAGGAAGAGATGAAAACGGCAATCGAGTGATGGGAATGATTCCGTCTAAAGCATTGGCCACTACCTGTATTGTTGACGATCCCGACTTTTTATGGCCCATACCTGACAACTGGTCAATGGAAGAGGCGTCGACTGTTCCTTGTGTTTACTCTACCGCCTACTACTCGCTAATAATCAGAGGACATCTGAAAAATGGGGAGAAAGTTTTGATCCATTCGGGTAGTGGTGGTGTCGGTCAGGCGGCCATTAATATATGTTTGAATATGGGTTGTCAAGTGTTTGTTACGGTCGGATCAATGGCCAAACGAGAATATCTGAAGAAATTGTTTCCCAAATTAAATGATAGCAACTTTTCTTCATCTCGCGATTTGAGTTTCAAAACACATGTAATGAATGCAACCAAAGGTAAAGGTGTAGATTTGGTACTCAACTCACTGTCTGAAGACAAACTCAAAGTCAGTATCGAGTGTTTGGCAGATAACGGCCGGTTCCTTGAGATTGGCAAATATGATATGTCTGTAAATACAAGATTAGGTATAAAATGAAAATAAAAGCACAAAAACAATATTAAATTATTTTTTTTATAGATATGAATGAAATGCTGTAAAACAAGTCGTTTCACGGAATTCTTTTGGACGCCTTGTTTACTGTCGATGAAAATACACCGAAAAGTTTGTTAAATGATAGGAAACTCATTTGGGAACTGATAGAAGAAGGCATCAAAAACGGAACCGTACGGCCACTGGACAGAAGTATATTCACTGTTGACGAATCAGAAGAGGCGTTCCGTTTTATGTCATCGGGAAAACATATGGGAAAAGTTGTCATTAAAATCCGAGACGAAGAGTCCGAGGGTCAGTCCATGTCGTTGAAGCCGTTAGACATTAAAGCCAACGCCCGGACAGTATTCAATCCCAACAAAGTTTATTTTTTGTATAATAATAAAACATAAATATATATAATCTATTCGACATTTGATTTTTAATATATAAATTATATATTAATTATATATTTAAAAAAAATATTAATGTACATAAATTTATATTTAATTATCTTATTTTATTTATTGATATAAATATAATTAACAACCAAACAATTTACGAATATCTTTCCAATGTTTACACTAACAAAAATAAATAAAAAAATAATATAAAAAATATAATTAAATAATTGTATAAAAACAAACTAACTATTATTTAAAAAAAACTAACACATTTAGTATGTTTATCATCACATTTCCATTTGCGTACACAATAGGTATCGCCAATAAACAGATAAATGTCATCATTTAATACGATACCTGCCGTCACACCCAATGGCCAGTTGGCAGTGCTTTCATCGTAAGTAACATTTTTTACAATTTTCAGCTCAGAATTATTTATCGACAAATATTTAATCTGTATTTTTAAAATATATATATATTTTATATTTATCACAACTATTGTAATCACACATTAATAGTAGCAGCAATAGTATTACCGACCAAATTAAGACCTAATCCAATCATCATCGACGATATCATCTCATTATTTTGTAGGACAGCTCTCAATGATGTCAACGATTTCGATACTATCTTCACGTTTCCTTTATTATCCATTCGCTCGGCTTTATTACCTTTGAAGACAATCAAATGTCCCCTCATTTTGCGTCCCTCAGCGGCCACAACTATAGCATCGACTTCTGTCGACTTAAACCCCGGCCACCGATCACTGATTTGTCCGCTGCCAACAAAAATCGTTTCATAGGGAAAGTGATTCAACAGAAAGTATTGATTGCCGCGAAACAAAATAATATTTCCGTCGATATCATTGGATATACCATTCAGTTTAAGGTCATTGCAAAAGTCTCGTCGAAAATCATTGTTTTGTTGCGACGATTGATAATTGGTGAGACTGTACGGAGGTTTGTATTGACCCCAACAGCCCAAAAATCGCCGGATGTCGTACCAGACATTGCACTGGTTATACCATTTAAATATAAAAAAACAAAATTTAATTTGTTTTTCTCTCAGAAGTCATAATTTTAAAAAGACTTATATGTCTTACATACTGATCCTTATCTGTCGACTCGTAAATCATTTCTCTCACACAGTATTTGTTGCCTTTGAATACATAGATGAAGCCGTTGTTCAGCGAAAAGCCTGCCGTTATGTCCGACGGAAATCTTTCTCGGCTTTCAGTGTGATCGACCCGTTTGACTTCACTGATATTTTTGTCGGACACTTCATAATAGTAGACCTATTTTTTTTATAACAATTTTTTTTGTTTGATAAAGAAAAACAAAATTTTAATTCTAGTTTTACTTGTTTTCCTTGAAAACCTATAAGCATTGGATTATTTGGATTGCGGTTATCTATAACAGCGGACAGTCCACCAACAGGTAGTCCATGGACTGGATATCTGTTAAACATAAGGCTGTGTCTGATCTTATATAAGCCATTAGGACTCCAGGCGGATACTGTCCGGTCCTTATAAAAAGCGTAGACATGTCCTCTCATATCTCCTTCTTTGACAATCAGCGCAGTCCTAAAATCTTTAATCTGAAAGTCTGGCAATAATTGTTTGGTTAATCCACTAACAATCATATTACCCGAACCGTAACGTAGATCTATTATAGTTGTTTTTGTTGTAAATTTATAATCAATAGTAATTATATTAATATATAAAATATAATATTTTGTTTATTAGTTATAGTATTATTATTATTTTTTTTTAAAAACTGATATATCAAATAACATACTCTCCATTATAAAAAACTTGTCGCCAGTGAACACAATAATTTCGGTGCCGTCAAGATTAGAGTCAACCGAATCGATGACCGGATTCTCACAAAAGGCCCGAAAATCGTTATTTTTATAAACAATTGTCCGATTAGTCAATTGTTTAATTTCTGGATGTTTTTGTCTTGTTTTTGGCTTAAGTTTGTCAACTAAATCGTCAATATTGGGCTCATTTGGATGTTTGTTAGGATTATTATTATTACCATCAGTCAGACTAATGACTTTGTCGAGCAAAGTCTTCTCATGATTGACCCAATTGTGTAGTAATTGATTTATTTCAGTCAAAGATCTCTCTCTTTCAATTCGTTTGCTATTTAAAAAGTCGTTTATATTAAACTATTAAAAAAAATTATACAAAAATTAATATTTTTAAATCTAAATTAAATAGTAGTATCTATTGATCTGAAACATACAGCTGGTATTCTGGGATTAATTCTATCATTTTTTCCATCAATTGATAATACTGTTGATGATTGTGGTGTGCTTTGATCATCATTGGGATCCGTTTGGCAATAATTTTGTATTAAAAAGCATATTAATAGTATTAATAATATAAAATTATTATTTAAAAAATAATATACAGGCATTTTACTTTTATTATTATAAATATTTTTTTTATTTATTAAATTAATTTGTTAAATTAAATAAATATATATTTTTTTGTAAAACTAAATAAATAACGTTAAAAAGCAATTTTAATTAATTAGTTAATTATAGTAAATGTATATTGTTTTTAACATCTGAATAGTTTTTTAGCGTTCAACCAATTTTGACACTTTGGGGATAAAAAAAATAGAGAAATAAGTAATTTATTTCTTAATTAATTAAAATATCATAAAATTACTATATATATAGTATATACCGGTATATAAAATCAAATCAAATACTCACACAATTGGTTGCCGTGTCATTACAATGCCAACCTCTCAAACAATACCGATCCTCTCTAAACAAATATATATTAAATTCATTGATATAGTAGGCGGCGGTCAGCCCTGTGGGCCACAATTGTTTAGATTTATTATATTTATAACTTTTCATTATATTTAATTTGGTGCCATTTGTTGATACATAGTTTATCTTATTAGAAATTACAAATTAAATGTAATAATTTTAATTAAACAAAATAAAAACAAATTATACCTCATTGTCATTAAATGCCACTGCAATAGGTTCATGAATATCCAAGTTTTGTAAAATGGCATTAGTTTTGGCAAACTTTTGATGTCCATCCACTAGTCGACTGCCATTGTTTAGCCACTGTTGATAGCTGTTACCATTGAATTCAATTAGCTGTCCTCTCAGATGACGACCTTCGCTGACAAATATCACCGAATCAGGAGTTTTCTCAAATCCTTGCCATTTGTCGGCTATCAGACCGTGACGAACGGCCACAGAATTTTGCGGAAAGTTTTCAATCACCCAATAGTGGTCACCTCTGAACACTAGTTGTGTCAGATCAGTAACATTACGCGTTAGTCCAGTGATCTTCAAGTCTTTGCACAGACTTTCTTGATATTCGGTTTGTTCTCGAGTTTCAAAGTTTTGCAGTTCTTGTTTCCGATCGCTTTCCAGACTGTATGGCGGAGGGTATTGACCAAAACAGCCGAGAAATAGACGCGAATCCAGCCATACTTTGCACTGAGAGGTTATTTATTTAATAGTTGTTTTTTCTGGCATTCAATTAGTTTCAATTTATGACATACCGGCTGTCTATCGTCCTCCTCCTCCTCCTCCTCCTCGGGGTATAACTCGCGGACACAGTACTGTTTGCCGCGAAACAGATATGTGTATCCGTTGGGCATTGAAAAAGAAGTTGTAATATCCGGCGGAAGTCTTTCTACAGACTTGTCATTAGTTGTTTGTTTTATCATTACAAATGTCTTGTTTACCACCTTATAGTAATAGACCTGATTTTGTTGTTGTTGGGTGTAAATAGTGATATAATTTAATTAATTGATTTATTCAATATTTATTTATTTTTTTAAATAAAATAAAAACCTAATTGTATTCATACTTTTTTACCATCGAGTCCTACAAGAAGTGGATTATTAATATTTCTGTTATGAAATACAGTCTGAAAGCCATTTATTGGCAATGATTTAATCGGTGTTTTCTTTTGATAATTCTCAGTCTTTGCTGTAAACCAACCGCTGGTCCGCCAGCCGGACGTCATTTGGTTGTTATAAAAGGCAAACATATTGCCTCTGAGTTCGCCCTCTTTGATGCTCAACATTGATGTAAAATTTTTGTCATCAAAGTTTGGAAATAATTTATTGGTCAGTCCGCTGGCCAACAAAGTTCCCGATCCGTACCGTAAATCTAAATGACAGTTATTCAGAGATAAAATTATTATTACATTACATTAAGAAATAATTTTTTTAAAAAAAAATACAGATTGTTATCATCAAACTGTATATTGTTGACTAACTTTCCATTACGTAAAACTTGTCGTCTTTGAAAATCAATATCTCGGACCCATCGAGACTAGAGTCCATATCAGTGAAAGTCGGGTCCAAACAGAGTGACTTAAATTCGGGATTTGTATAAACAATTTTTCTGTCTTTTATCCGATTATCTGATGTTTTGTTTTGTTCCCAAAACAGCCATTTCCTCATTTTGGAGGCAATAACTATAATGAATTCCCGGTTTCGTCGCCGGTCTGTAAGCCATTGTATTACATCAACAAATTTCTTTGTTTAAAAAAATAATAATATTAATAGTTATTTAAAAAAATAGTTGATATTATAATTTAATACAGTATTATATCAATAAAAAAATAATAATTAAGATATTATATATTTAAATAAATAAATATAATTAATTAATACCTTTTTAACATTATCAAAAACCTGAAAAACAAGGTATCAAATATAAAAAAATTAAATCATAAATTAATTAATTTAAAAATAATTGTTATTAGTAAATAATTAGCATGGTTACTTTTCCAAATGTAGAAAATATATGTCCAATTGGATTTTCATTGTTTTGTTTAGGAAGTATTTTATTTGCATTGACTTGAGATTGTTGACAAAAATTAATTATAATAAATATTGATATAAAACTAGTAATCAATTTATCTATTATCCAAATACTCATTTTTTTGTTTAAAATAAACAATAATAATAATTATATAAATATTTTTAATTTTTTGTTTACTAGTATATACTGTATATTAATTATTGTAATTATTTTGTTTTTGAATTAAAAATATTTATTAATTAATTACATTAGCAATCTGTAAAACTTATTAAAATATTGTATTTAATTAAAAATCAATATTGTATTATATATAATACCAGTAAACTAAAGTTAATGAAAAAAATTGTCAAAAAAAATGAATTTATATAATGTTTTTAATATTTTATATCAATTTTATATAATGTACACACAAATTTTACCAAATATTAATAAAAAAAATAATAATTTCTAAACTTTATAAAATTTTTTACTTTAATATAAATTATGATTACTTATTATTAGTTTACTTAACTAATATAATAATGGAAATATTTGTTTTAAATTTTTTATTGGTTAAGTTAAAAAATTGTTGTTTTAATAAGTTGAATCAATTGTTTATCAGTCTAAATATATTACTATGTATTCAATACATATACTAAATTAGTATTAATAATATAGCAAAAAATATTTTGTGATTAAATAAATTACACATTAATTAATAAAAAAAAATAAAATAAATTTTATTAAATACTATCCATAAAAAACTAATAATAAATTATACACACATTATGAAAATTTGTGTATATATTTAAGTAACAATACAAATAGTATTAAAAAAAGTGACATTAAATTTTAACAACAGTTTATTTTAATTAAAATGTTAATAACAATTGTTTTGATTGTTTTCATGTACGGTATAATCGATACTTTTTTTGCTGGTCTTGTTTGGCGGTCGACTGATCTGCGAGTAAATGGCTGTTATGGATGACATGGAGTCGAATCGGGATATGTTGGACGTCTGTCGGGGACTGTAGTCGAGGCCAATGACCGGCATCTGTTTCGGTACTGTCGACTCAATGATGTGACTGTCGCTTAATTTAGACTTTTTGCGGCCTATCAGGTGATCAATAAAGAGGTTTGCGACACGAAAAAGGGGGTCAAATGAAACACACAGTTTGAAAATCAATGCATTCAATCAAAAAAATAAATATATTTTTATTTATATATATTTATTTATATTTGTCGTGTGAATAAAATGTCAATTAAATTAATTTATTTTTAACAAAAAACCTACAACTAAAATTTTTGATATTACTATAATTATTATAAATCAAAAATATTTACTGATTTACTGTTCAAAATATGTGCATTTAAGTAGTAGTGGTAGTAGTAGTAGTAGTTTGTTGTGATTTGAGGTTTTTTAAAATAAAAATTTTTTAAAAGTCAATATTTGAAACGATTGTATGCATTGAGTGTCAAACGTGACAATCGTTTGCGCCGTTTATGGACACAAAAATAATAATATGTAATACCGGTGATGGTCAGGAAGGCCAAGACGATTGTGGTCAGACACGCCGTAATGACTATACCAATGAATATCGATATGAGTATCGAGTCTTCATCGGTGGTCACCGATTTGGACGACGACGAGCCGTTCAATATACTGCCCGTACGGACCTCGCGATTGGTACGTATGGTGTTGACTATTGATTGGCGTTTTTGTGGTTTTTCGGGACAACCGAAAAAGTCGTCCACTGTTTGGTGCTATTTGTGTGGAATAAAAAGTTGTTTTAATTATTATTATTATTATTTAATTTACTAACAAAAAACGATTTTAATATTAAACTAAATTATTACTTTTTTCAATTTTATTTTATTTTGTTTTTGTTTAGTTATTTTTTTTAATAAACTTTAATACCAATGATTATATACTATTTTAATCAAAGTTTAATATAAAAATAATTTCTATTTTGTATCTATTATTATATAACTTTTTAAAAAAAAAAAATTACAATAAATAAATAATATATTTTTTTCCATAAACTGATTGATCGCGTGATAGGAAGGCATTTGTCTTGAGCTCAATTGGTTTGGCATTTATTTCTCTAATAAAAAAAATTAAGACTCATTTGATAACTATTTTTTTTTAATTAAAAATAACTAAATTACTATACAATAGCTTAGAGTATATGAATCATACAGTGTATATATACATCAAGTTTGGCTTAGACTTTGCGGGATAATAATAATACTATCGATATAATTAAATATTTGATGAAATTATAGTGTAGTTTTTAAAATACAGTACATGTGCTATATTTAGATAGAGTATAATATAAATATAAATTTATTAACAATTATTGTGATACGATATATTAAACTATATTTTGTTGTTATTGGTTAAGACCTACATTATAAATACATAGTGTATTTTAATACTAAACACTTTCTAAACAATTATTTTTATTAAATTATCAATCAATTGATTGAAATTGAAAACTTTTATAGAAAGTAATGTTGCAATTATTTGACAATTTCTATGTTTATTTATAGCTAATAAAGTTAATAGCTTTTAAATGTAGTTTTTGTTTTGTTTTTACTCAAAAAAAAAATCAATCATTTTAAGCGTATGTTTGACAATTTTATGGATAATAAAAAATTAAGAAAAACTGTAATATAGTAGATAGTGATAGATTTTTGAAATATTTTTAATTGATTTTATAGGAAATATTATTTTTAAATGATTTTTTAAATACTATATAATAAATTACATCATATATACAGTATATATATATATATATATAAGAATTCAGGAAATTATCTATATATCAAAAATTACTTATAAAAATAATTAACGACTATTTTATGTTAAAAAAACAATATATTAAGTATAATACAATTTATATACAAACTATATTAGTCAAACCTAAAATATTAACTATTAATTATTAGAGGCATAGTTTTATTGCCAAATGACCATTCAACATTAATTAAATTGATAGTTAAGAAATTTTTAAAAATTTAATATTCAATATTTAGTGGACTATATCTATATATAATAATATTTTTTTTATGATAAAAACTTAAAAACCCCTAAATATTGGTTATTATTAATACATACAGTTTCGGTTAGTTTACGATCATTATGTCCGGCCATATGATATCTGTATACTTTGCCAACTCTTTCGATACTGTTTTTAGTTTCTCCGATTGCATAGACAATGCCATTCATTTCAAACATACCGGTGTAGACCACTTGATCGCCAATGTCTTTATATCTCCACGAACTGTTCCAGTTTTTCGTGTCCAACGAGTTCCAGGCCAACACCGTATTGGAAAAGTTTCGGCCATTCATTATGAATATCATCTCATAGCGAGCCGGCAGATAGGCTACCGGCCGGTGCTCTTGATAGGCCTCCCATCCATTTGGCCATAAATTTCCGCCCAATAATCCCACCTAATGTTGGATTTTAAATAACATCAAAAAAGAAAGAGAGAGAAAGAAACAAACAAACAAAAAATGTATAATTAATTACTTGTAAGACTTATCGCTTATGCAATACTCAATACATAATTCATTTTTGCAATTAATGCAATTAAAATTAAAATTCATGTTTTTAATTAAAGTCAGATATTATTATTATTATTATTATTATTTGTTTTAATATAAACAACTTAATTATTTTTATTATGTTTATATACTTATTTTAATGTAAGATTAATTGACCCAAAAGTTTTCATTAATTACATATCCATTACATTTTTGGTAATCATAACAATTATTGTGCAAAATAACACCTATCATTTATAAATTTTATAGTTAAATAAAATAAAATTATTAAAGATATTATTGTTTGAATGGCATATTAGTTGTGGTACAACACCTAAGTTGGTAAAGACAGTCAACAAATGTTTAAATTTGTTGATTAAATCATTTATTTAGAAATATTTTTTAAAAAAATTAATAATATATAAATATGAAATCATTTAAATTATAATTTCGTGCATTTATTTTCAACTAATTAGCTATTATTATTTTTAATATTTGTAACGATATTTATTTTCTAACAAAAAAAACTAAATCAAATTGCAGATGAAATATTAAAATAAATTAAATATTTTAAATAATTACTGTATATTATATAGACATTTAACTAAATTATTTTGAAAAATTATCAACATGATTTAGAATAAATAAAAAATAAATAATATATTAATATTTTGCAATATCTTATTAATCATAAAAAAATCGCTATTAATTTAATGAAAAAAAAACAAAACAAAAATTTAAAATTAAAAGTATATAAAACAAATAAACAAAATATTTGTTTAAATCAAAATTTACAATCACTGTATCATAATTACTATATATTTGCTCATTAAAAAACAAAAACTAACTAAATACATAAATAAAATAATTTTAAAAAATATTATTAAATATTAAACATATTTGAGCAGCAACTTATTAAGATTAGTAATAATAATAATAATAATAATTACAACTTTATTACAACATATAAAATAATGTTAGGTCAGGTTAGATATAAATATAAAAACATAAACGATAAACAATTATTAGTATTTAATCACTTGATAATCATAAATTAATTAACACTTATTTATTTTGTTTTACTTTGACATATTATTTTGTAGCAAATAATCAAATAAAAATAAAATTACTTATAAACCTATTGTGAAATTTATTTGTTTAACAAAATTTTTATTTATATTTGATTGAAAAATAATACAAATAAAAAAATTATTAAAATAAATAATTGATTAATTTACCATACATAATAGTATGATTCATATTATTATTGCTAATGCATTTTTATAAAATAATTAAATGATTAAATGTTAATTTTTAAAGTTAATTAAAAATTTATAAAGTGAATTGCTTAACTTATGAATTTATTTATTTATTATTAATTTTATTGCTAAACTTTGCTATACATTTAGAAAACATATGAATTAATACATTTTTTTGATAATTTTATTTTAAAAAATAAATTTATTGAAACATTTTATAGAATGTATAATAAAAATAAGTTATTATTTATTTTATTTTTAAAAAGTTAAACGCTTTAATAATCTTTAAGTATTATAATTTACTAGAAAAATAGAGAAGTTTTACAATAATATTAATAATAATAATCACAGATAAGCCTATATATTATTATTATAATAATAATATAATATAATAAAATAAACGGAACCACAATTATATTTAGTTGACAGCAAAATAATCAGTCAATACTTTTCAAAAAAAGGGGCAAATATTTTATAAGAATTTTCTTAGTATTTAATTTCTCATTTTTGATTGATATTTGATTGCATTTTAAACGCAACCGTTTACTGACATCAAATGGTACTAAACAACAATAACTACAATAATAACAACAACAACAACATAAACAATAACTGATGAACGATGGTATGAAACCATCAACAAAAAAAGTAATGCCATTAAAAACCATCGCCAGAAAAATCATGTGCTTATCATTAGAGTTAGACATTACTATTGATAAGAAATAGTTAATTACTTTATGTGTGTGTAATAACTGTGTATAACAATAGAAGATTTAACAGTAAAAATTGTTTGCTATTATTATAGCATTTTCTAACTTTTTTTTTAATATACTGTATATGAAGCAAATTAAGGCTTAATTTTCAATTTAAAATTTTTAGTTATTATTTTTGCTTTTCAATTCATTCAGTTTGTTGTTGAACTACCAATAGTTGTCACTCAATGTAATATAACAGACAGTTATCAGTTTATTGCATTATTAGGAGATTAAATATTTTTAACAGATTTAAAACACTTACTGAACTCACTTGTTTAACATTGAGCTCATGTATATGTTTTGAACAAATGGTACAGTTATGGCACAGAACCGTTATTTTAGTATTACATATATTTATTGATTATTAGGTGATAGGTATGACTGACACATAACTATGATTTTTTTTTTTTTGTAAACCAGTGAATTAATTAATAAGAGAGAGAGAGAGAGAGAGAGAGAGAGAGAGAGAGAGAGAGAGAGAGAGAGAGAGAGAGATTTATCTGTTTATAAATCTTACCTTAAAAAACTCAAATAAAATAAATATTATTTTTTTCAAAAAAATAAGTTACATTTGATTATCAATCAATATATATATATATATCAATATCAATATAATAGTGTTACACAATACTATAGATTATGTTTTTTATTGACTAATAAATTAAGTGTACAATATTTTTTTATGATATTTATAAATTTGTACGCCAAAATTTATAGTTATCTGAAATTTATTACATATTATAAATGTATTTCATAACATAAATTTTTATTTACCCTATAAAATGTTAATATTATTTATTAAAAAATAATAAGGTATATTATTGTAGTAGTAGTAATGACTTAATTAAAATATAAAATATTATAGAGGAGTACACACTTTTTTGTATAAAATAATAATTAACAATTTATAAATTAAAATGTTTTATTATTTTTATGTTTAAATATAGTACCCTAAGACTATATATTTATATATAAAAAAAATATTTTTATGACTTTAAACACTATTACAACTACAGTACAGCAATTAAACAAAAATTATAACATAGTTGAGTCAAATATAGATAAAGATTATAATTATTTATATTTAAAAAAAATTAATATCAAATATGTAATTTTGTAGGCGGCATTAAATAGCGGTATAATTTTCATAGCAAAATAAAAATATGATTTTTTAAAAATAATAATAATAATAAATCAAATGCTCATATATTTTGTGTGTGTGTGTTTGCCATACAAACCTGTTTCATACCCCACGGGAGGTGTTTGGGTTTGACGCGCTTTTGGCTGCCGTTCCTGTTTCGGACGTCCAGATTATAGTAGGACCGACTCCTGGCCTTATTGTGTAGGAAATAGACGGCCATATCTCGCATTTTGAGAACCTCTTTACAGTCGACACTGTCGTCGACATTACATTTAGGTATCTTTGATATGTTGAACGCCCCCTGAATGTGATCGCCTATACATCAAATAAACCAACAAAAATAAAATAAACAAAATTAATACAACAGTTATGTTTGACTAACAATTTAGTCATTTTTAAAACTAACTAAAACAGTAAACGTAAAGATTCATTGTTTTTATGAAAATATAAATATATTTTCTTGTTATTGTTAGTCCTTTTGTTTTAATAATAATAATAATACTTAAAAAAAAATACACAAAAATATGTTGTTTGCCTTTCAGTTTTGTAATTAATTATTATTATTATTATTATTTTGTTTTATTTTGCACTTATGATGAATCTCTTACTTAAATAATTACAATACAAATATTCTTTTAGTGTGTGTTTTATGAGAAATTATTTATTTTTTCTGTTATTTATTATTTGTTAATTCAATTAATTATTTTCCAAATAAAGAATAAAAAAACACAAGAGATTTTCATTTTTCTTGAAAAAAAACTTTATTTTAATCAAAATTTATACGAAAATTGACCCCTTTTTAAGTTTGTGAATATACACACAAACATCTTTGTGTAATTAATATATGGTTTTATAATGATTATGAAATAAATTGTAAATCTTTTTTAAAAATTAAATATATATATAATTTTTTTTTATAATTATAAGATTATTATTTTTTATGTTCAAGTATTTAATCTTTATGTTAAGTACTGTATGATGTGTTAGGCATTCATAAATACTATATTTTTTATATACAGTATAAGATAATTTTTTTTTTGATTTTTTGAAAGTTTTTGATTAAATAATTATTGTAATATTAATAATAAAAATAATAATCCAAAAATACAGTATATACTAGTTAACAAATAATAAAAATGATAATTTTGTTTTTGGTTTGCTTGCTATAATATTATTAAATTTTAATATTATAATAAAAACATTTCATTATAAGATAATAATTTTTATTAAAAACATTAGAAAATTATTTATACTTTATAATGTCTACATTAAATAAAATTAATCTTTTAAATATAAATTTATTACATTATAATATTTAATATAAATTACTATTTATTTTATAAATAAAATATTTTGCGTAAATAAATAGTCCATTAGTTAATATAAAATTGCAAATGTAATCAACAAGATTTAAATATATTCATATAATTATAATATATTAAATATAATGTATATAAAAGTTTATTTTACATTTCTATCCTTAAACAAAATTTTTTAGTAATACATTATACATTACATATAATCGATGGCATAATTTTCACAATTAAACTAAAAAAATTTATAGTATAGAAAAATGTGATTGTAAAATGAGATTATATATATGATTACAAAATAAATATCTAAATGTATCCATAAATTGATTGAAAAATTACTAACTGAAAGCCTAGTATACTATAGTAATATAGTTAACATAAACCCCCCGAAGTTATAACTGTTTATTATACTTAACAGTGAGAAAAATAGTTTGGTTTAATGTTTTGACGTTTAGTTTCATTTATTAGTGTAAGAAAGTGATCGCAAATTTCAATAAATTTATTTATTTATTTATTTATTTATATAACAGCAACTAGTTTTCATTATAATTTAGTGTACTCTCTCTCTCTCTCTCTCTCTCTCTCTCTCTCTCTCTCTCTCTTTCTCATGAGAGTAAAAGTTAAGTGAATAATAAGAAAATTTATTTCACTTGAAAAATGCTTTAACAATTTAAAATATTTATATACAGACTGTATAATATATAATACAGTAGAAATTTCATAAATATATTATTATGCTATTTTATGTTGCTGTAGTATTATATATATAAATATATAAAAAATATAGAATACATGTACTTATTATTAATATTTAATACTAAATAAATCTTTATAAACATATTTTCAATTACTGTATTTATACAATTATATGTCAAGCATTACAATAATACAATAACCAGTGCTATCAAAGCTATTTATGAGTAAATAACTAAAATATCAATATATACAGTATAAATAATTGTATATAATAAAAATACACATCAAAAAATTGTTAATTATAAATTATAAAAATTATAATGTACTTTACTTATAATTAAATAATTATATATTAATATAATAAAATAATATTTATATATATATAATATTGTATTTTATAAAACTTGCAGAATTAGATAGGTTTTCTAATAAAATAATAAGCAGGTAATCATTATATATATAAATAATATTATCGGGAAAAAACGTTTTGAAATAACCAATTATTTGTGATAAAAAAATAATATTTATTTCAAACCTTGAGTGAACTGTTTCTGACTAAATGGTGAGCTCAGGTTATGATAATCTTTATAGTAATACCAGAGCCAGTCATCTCTGGTCACTATAATATCGTAACCGTTAAAATAGGCCGAATCGATATAATTGTCTTCACAAAAGTTGACCACTTCCTCAGGTATGGCCGCCTCATCATCGCTGGCCACTGAATCACTGTCGTCGTCAACGACAACATCGGTGTTATTATTGGTATCACATTTGGTCAGACAAGTCAACAACAGTACAATATATAGCAATAATTTCAATTTAATTGACGGCATATATAGGCATTGATGAAACATTTTGATGATATTATATCCTTAAATTGGTTGATCATTGCAATCATATTTTTTTGCAACTATTTTTTGTTTGAAATAAAATAAAGTAACATAAAGTTTCAATTGAATAGTGAAAAAAAGTTTATTTCACATTTTTTAATAGTTAAACACATAAACTCATACACACATACAGTATATATAAACTACTGCACTATATTTAACTCGAAAAATGAGTCAAAAAAATTTATCAATAATTAATTAAATAAAATAAATTATTATTATTATTATTACATATTAAATCACTGACACATTACCACACGATTGCAATGTTATTTTTTGCAACACATTTAATGAACTTTTTATTTTAATTTAAACGCAAATTTTTGAATCGCAAATCAATATCAATGACGGAATCTGAGAGTGAAAATCGGGTTTTAAGTCACTAATAATCAGTAATTTTGAGTTTTTTTGTTTTTTTCTTAATCTTTAAATTTTTATTTTATTTTCCAATCCAATGGTTAGGAGAAATAAAAACTAAAAGTTTTATACTTAAAAAGATTTATAATCCACGGAGTAATTTTAAAACTGCTATCATATCACTTATGTATCAAAATATACTTATATATCAATATATATATATACTGTATATTAATATATATATTAAACAGAGTTTTTCATTAATAAATCCAAGGCTTTCAACATCCAGTTGTCTGTTTTAGGGTCTGTTTCCTAATAACAGTGTGTAGTATAGCCTAACTGTCGATAGAAAACTGTTGAGAGAGCGCCTTCAGGTTCTTGTTTTTTTGGCTGTATTTCCAGTAATACCTATCCTATGGGTTCTCTGGGAAATCAGGTCGTGAAGTGAAAACTCCTAATAAAAACGTTTAGTATATATACTGTATATATATATATATATAGTATTTATATATAATTGAATAAATATAAAATTTCAGGTGTTTTTTGACTCTCAAATGACAAGAAAGTGTCGCTAATATTATTCGCTACTATTTTAATGTCAGTTTTTATTATTTTTTTTTAATTATTATTATTACTATTATTACTATTATTTAATGATAATTATTTCAATTAGCTTTGCCTACTGATTGGAAATATGCAAATTATAATTGTGAAAAAAACTGAATATTATTATAATTTATGTAAAATGCAATTGTCTTTTTGGTTATTATCTTATTTGATTAGAGAAAAATAATATTTTATTTAAAAATTGAATTTGATTTTTACTATAGGGAGTGTCCAATAATTTGCTATCAATTTTCAATCAATTTTCATTAAATTATATTTATTATAATATAATTTTTATTATTATTATTATTATTATATTCAATTCCAAGAACTTTGTTTTATTGCTTATAATTATACAGTAATTTTTGCATATTTGAAATTTTATTTTGAAAAATAATTATTAATTAAAAATGTATTTCAGCATAACTCATTAAATGTGATACAATTTTTTTTTGATAATATTATTTTGTAATAATTTAGTTTTCAATTTTGCATATATTATAAATAATATATTGTATTTGCTTTTATATTGAATATAATAATATAATATTGAATTTTTACTGTAAATTGCACTTTAATTTTGTCATAACATATTAAACAACAAAAGCTTAATAAACTAAAATTAGATACATTATGAGCTCTAGGATTAAATGTTATGTTTATAATCAAAAACCTTATATAATAAACTTTATAAAATTATAAAAAATCTTTTAATATTTTTAAAGTTTTATAGTATCATATTTATCAAAATACTAATCCTACTAAGATTATTTTCGATATTTACTATTTATAAACTAATATTATTTTATTTAATTGAATACAATATTAAACTAAGTATTTTATTTTAAATATTATTTGATATACATATTTGTATTTGTATAATATAACTATAATAATATTACTACCCCTGAAGTGTCAATAGTTTAAAAATATAATAAATTATTATTACTAATAAAAATAATATATCATTTAATAAAAGTAAACTAAATTTTTATTTCCGATACATTTAATTTTGGCTATTTTTATAACAATACCTAAAACTCTTGTTTATATTTAAAAAATACTGGATTCAAAACTGGAGGCAATTATCGATTGGCAAACAGTATGTTATAATTTAAATTTTAGCTAAAAATATTAACAAATGTTTAAAATAAAATAAAATTAAAAATACAATAAAATTAAGTTTTATTTTTTTCCAGTCATACAACATTTTTTTATTGACATTATATTTGATCGTTAAATTTGAAGATTATGTTACAAACAAACCAATATTATTATATGGATATAAAACAATCATATCATTATAAATCAGTCTACTATATCCTTAAATCTATAGAAAGTACATAAATAAATAAAAATCCATTACAATAGTTAGTTTTTTTTAAATAAATATTATCACTATTGGCATTTTTTTGATGATTTAACATAAAAATATTCTACATTTTTTCTAATTATATTTTTCCAATTGAATAGACATAATAATTCATCAATATTATTATTATTATTATTATTATTTATTAGTATACAAAAGTTTGTTTAATTATTGCATTTATTTAATTTATTTGGCAATTATTTGTCATTCAATTGACATGACTGGTCAACCATATTATGTTAAATAAATTGAATTATTTATTTGTTTGTATAAAAAAATGATATACAAACTTTTCAATTATATGTTTCATTGACACTAACATCTATATATTATAATATATTAATATATATATGAAAAAAATATTTAAATATATGTAAAAATCTATATTTATATAATATATTTAGACTATATATTTACATAAATTATTATCAAACGATGTCTTATCTTTTAATGCCTGTTATCTTACCGTAAATTTTTTCAAATCTCTATCTTTTTTTATAAGTTATATGTATTGTATATCTACCGACAAATATAATAAAATACACAGTTATGCTATTTTTGAAAGATATTTAAAGTTTATAATTCAAATGTTTACGAGTTTTTTTTAAATGCTAACGAAAAAAAATTGTTGAGTGTTTGTTATTATTAAATTGAATAATAATTCAAGAAAAGCAACATATATATATATATATATATATATATATATATATACTGTATATGTATATATATTTATATATATAATAAAAAAACATAAATACATATTATTTAGGTTAAACTAACATATATTTAATATAAATACATACAGTACATACATACGAGGTGTATACATATACCGTATATAAAAAAATTAATAATAATAAATAAATAATAACGATAATAATAATAATAATATATTGAAAGAAAAAATAATGACAATATGTAAACTCATAGATTTTTATATAAACTTTATATTTGATAAATAATAAGATAATATAGTTTTAAATACTGACTGACTGTGCGAAGATAACAGGAAAATATTAGTCAATTTATATAATATATAAATTTTTTTTCGATACACAATAAAAATATACAAAATATGTTATTAATTGTTTTGTTTTTTTTGTGTTTACTGTCTGTAAATATATACTGTCTATTGACATACATGTCACACATTTATGTTTTAATGTTTAACAAAAAAAATAGATAAATAATAATAATAACTATATGATTTTAAATCTATTCAATGAATTAACAAAAATATTAATAATAATATACCTGTACTATAAGTTATAGTTTAATTGAATGCTATATACTTAGTATTATGTTTTTGTTGTTACTATTTTATATAATAAATGCAAAAAAATATCTATTGACTAAACTATTATCTAAAGCAACAAATGCATGAATTATATGATGAAATATACGAAGATTTTATAATAAAATATATTATTACTTATATGATTTATTTCAATGATTTTTCAAGCAATTTATCAACAATTAGTTACATCACTCATACACCGGGAGCACAACTATTTGAAATTAAATAAGTTTTGTATTTTAATTGTTTTTTTTCATACACATATATAGTACTGTATAGTGTATAGTATAATATTTGTTTTTTAAAAAATTAATTACAAAATTATTATTTTATTAATAGTTTTTTCTGTCAGAAAACATTTTATTTATATTTAAAAATCTCTATAATATTAGAAATTCTATTAATTGTAAAAACAATAATTACAAACAATAAAAAATAAACGATTTCCTTATTTTCAGTATATTTAACATTTTTTGAAAAAATAAATATATTTTATTTGAGAAATTATAATTTATTAAATAATTTTAATTGAATGTGAATTTATTGATTATACAGAATAAATTTTGTAAATATTTATTTGGATTTTTTTGATAAATAAATAAATAATCTGATTTCATATTAAATTGATGACACATCAATGCTATTGAGTACGCTATTTATGATTTAAAATTATTTTTAAAAGTTTAAATTAATAGCATTTCAATTTGAAATAAAATTCATAAGCAATATGTTTACTAATGTAATACTTGTAAATCAATCAAAATAGACTGTATTTACATATACTTATTGATGTTATTATGAGTAGTACTTTAATATGCCATCATAGTGTACCTAACTTACCAATATAAATTTCGATATAATGCTAATAATTGGATAATAATTACATCAAATTCAATGTCAAAAAAATCTATACCAGTAATATATTATTACACTATCATCAAAAAACATGTAGACAGTACTTACAAATCATTAATATATTAATACAAAACTCTTACAATATTATATACAATACAAAACTATTAATTTAGAAATTTTAATTTATTATTATAATACTAGTATAAAATTAGTGTAATTTTTTTAAAAAAAACAGAGGTATTAATATTGCCACTGATTCAAGTTAATTGTTTTAATTTGTGATAAATGCCAATAATTTTACAATAAACTAAAAGACAAAGTGTTAAAAAATGTCAAATACTTTTAAACAAAATATTTTATTCATTAAAAAACAATAATTACAATTTAAAATTTATATTTAAATTAATAACTAATGATAACCTAAAAAGATTATAAAAATGGTAGTACTGTGTGTATACTATGACACTAAATGCTGTCAAATACTATGATATTCATATATATATATATATATATATATATTATTTTAATGTTATTTTAAAATATTTTTGTTATAAGCGTAATGTAATTTAATTATTTTTTTTGAACTTAATTTACTTTCAATAATAATTTATTGAATAAACTATTAAAAATAGTAATAGAATATAAGCATAGTTTAGATAATGATAATCTATTTAAAATTAGGTGATTAATTAAAAAAAATAAATAAAGTTATTTATGCAATTAATTTTTTCTTACATTAATTTCAACATTATTCAATATAAATTTGTTTTATTTATCTTTATTTATTTAATACAATTTTAAATAAATAAATAAATACTTTTTTAAGCTAGTATAAAAACATAATTATTTACCATTGCAACTATAATAAGCAAAATAGTGATATTTACAGTATTTGGTAGGCCTGATGTAAAACTACTACCAGAGCACCTGATGTTATTAAATGACCACTTTCGGCCAGTTTCAATAGGATTACCCTTACATAATGCATTATTATCGTTATTTAACTGATATTTCATATTATCAATGGCTAGTTTCAGAGTACTTTCCAAGATTGTGTTACATTTAGTCTATAAAATAGTCAAATATAGTTTATTTAATAATAATAATAATAAGTTTCAAATAATATGATATAATAAAACAAATATATATATATTAATACCTTTGCAGTTAACAGTGAACAATCAAATTCAATTGCCAATTGACAGCATTGAAATATGCGATTATTATGATATAATTCAAAATCATTATCACTAGCCTTACTTTTGGTACAATTTTTTATATCAGAAATTGTTTGTTTGTAACATTGATTTTGTTGTAATGTTTGATAAATAAGTGTAACCGTTGCCTGACTTTGACTGTCCAGTTGTGATACTGTTGTTTCGGTAGTCGCCAAATGTATAATATCTTGACACCAATAATGACTAATTTGATTTGATGTCAATAGTAATATCACTAATAATATAATTAAATTAAAAATATTATTAGTAAACATTGTTGTTGTTGTTATATTACAACAAAATGTGTGGTAAATCTCTTAGTTATATTTATGAGTTAAAATTAATGGCTTTTATATGCAAAAAATATTGTCACTCCTGATATGTAAAATTAAGATAATTTTTACGACATTTTTTTACATATATTTATTGCAACAAACATATTATTTATCTATAAAAGTAATCTCTTTTTTACCAAATATATATTAATAATATCGTAAAATGTTTAATAATTATTATACAATAAAATGATACATATGTACAGTATTGATATATACCGGTAAATTAATTTTCAATAACATTTTCCATATAAAGAGATGATTAGTGATTAATATTACTAAATTAAAACTCAAATTTAATATACACTATACAAACAAAAACATATTATAATTTTTTTTATTTATTTAAAACTGAATAAAATTGAATATATTTTTTCCCTCATATTTTATGCTAATATGATAAGACACACAAAACAGTTTTATACAGTAATATATATTTAAACCTAAAAATTCACTTTTTATTTTTTGTTGTTATCCGGGGGTTGTTATCTGTCACACAAATTTCTAGCCCTGAGTTTGAGGTCTGGGATCGGGATTGGCGTACAAAACGACCGAATAGTGTGTTTTGCGCCAATCTATTAGACTAAATGCTATCCGATTGTAATAGATTTGCCAGATCCGGATGTCTACGTAAAACCTAAAACAAGTGATCAGTAGAGCCAATACTAAGTACACCCATAAGCTTATGTATGCCGACGACGACGACAAGCACTGGTAAGACAATTGTACGACTAGTGCTAAAATTATGATCCAAATGTGTATAACATAGATCGTACGTCTGAGTGCATCACAAAATTCATACAACTCTTCGGGCGTTTCCAACAGATACCGGAGCCAACTGTTGGCATAGCGTTCCGTACGGTACGGAAATTGGCAAAACTCGCAATTGGTTTGAGCGGTCAGTTCGAGCATCTGTTCGCCGCACGATTTGTGTACCCAAATGTTAGGACAGTTGCATACTATGAGCACCGGATCGGCGACTGTCTCCTCTTTCAGACATATTTTACACGTTTTCAACTCTTTTCTGACCATTAGTTCTGCTATTTTTGTTGTTGTTGTTGAATATTTGAGATTACATTCAATACAAATGAAATCAATAATAGTTTTTATTATTAAGTAATAACTGATTTAATTCAAACACAAAAAATAATAAGAAATAAAATAACATTTTTAAAATTCGCGTGATTTATGTCACAATTATAATACTTGACTAATCAATTAATTTAATCAACTAATATAATGTAATGTAAATATAAATTACAATTTACTTGAAATACTAATTTGTAATATACAGGTATTACTAATTTTTGTTAAATTAAAAATTGAAATTATTTTTGTATAAATTACTAACTAAATAAAAAATCAGATTCTTTTTTGTGATATCTTGAAAATACATAAAATTATATTCTGTTTTGTAATTTAATTCAAAAAACATCTTCAAAAAAAAAACATTTTATATGACCCATATATCATATTATCGTCTCATTAAAAAAAATATTTTTATTTTATTTGTTTAGTTTATTTTTGATTAAACATCGCATAATTTAAAATTATAATCACATATCGTTTACCGTATTTTTATAAATATAGAAAATGTTTTTCATACTATAATTTTTAAAGTAATCACATACTAGTTATTTTGTTATTTCGTTAGATACATAAAATTGAATTTTGAATATTCATTTCTAGTGTGAGAGACTATAGTAAACGTGATTTAATAATAATAATAATAATAATAATAAAATAAATAATATTAAAAATAATACTTTTGTAAAAAATCATAACTACAATAATAAATAAAACTATAAAATCATTATTATTGAGTATGATTTGCCAAAAGTAATTTGATAAATATATTTATATACATATTTATATATATATATAATTTATAATAAATAATAAAAAGGCCAATCATTAAAACTACAATTCAAGGCAATACAACTCATTAATAATAATAAAACTTTTTTTTTTATATTTAAATTATGAAATTGTGATTTAAAATTCTAGTTTATTATGGATTAACAATATGTTAGTAAACTATTTCTAATTCATTTATTTTTGTTTTATAGTTAATATATACTAATGTATTGATTTCGTGATAATGTTGTCATCATTTTCTAAGTAATCATATTTTTACTAATAATAAAAATAATAATATTAATAACAACAACAACAACAATCATAATATCATTATTACAATTAGATACTATACATTAATATATTGTTTGAGTTTTATTGCTTAACGGTAGTTATAAAATAATTTATTATAAATTTATTGTATTATAGTCATAAAATTATTTAAAATTATTTGTAAGCTAAAAATCTATATATAAATTTTATATATCATGTATTTACAATAGTATTATTAGGTTTTTTTTATTACAAAACAAATTAATGTTTTCAACAAATTTTAGTGATAATGTTGTGGTTAAAACAGATTATATTTGTATTTAAATGTAAACAGATATTATAATTTAATTATATGTTATAATATTTTTAGTGTTATTATTATTTAAAAAAACAGGTTTTACTTTCTCTTAATATAATTATTAATAATATTACCGGAATTCATATGATTTTTTGCCTAAAATTAAGATAAAAATTTAATTTTTAAAACTTTTTATTATAGTTTTTGTATTTTTTGAATCTATTAATAGCAAAGATATTATTATTTTATTACACTAATTCAAGTTATATTTCAATTTGATTGATTGCTGATCAAAATAGTCTAACACAATTATTATTAAATTAAATAATTTGTTGTAATAATTTTACATATTATAACAAATTATATTTTTTAATCTAATTTAATTAAATTCTTGTTTTAAAAAATTTATAAACTAATTATATTTTTGAAATTATTCCAAATTTTTTAATTAAACTAAAAAATTAAATCAAATTAGAGAAATTTATATTTATATTATTCTTATAGACATTAATATTTAATTAAATTAATTAAAAATTTAATTTAATATAACACATACTAAATTTATGTTTCTATAAATTTATATTAAAAAATATGATATTAATATTAAATATATAAATATCATAATATTGATTGATTTGGGATTACTATTCAAATATAGTAAAGAAATATTAAATAACTGGAAATGGATTATTCATATTATTAGTAAACTAAATATATTTTTCATATAATTAAAAACATATGAATGATTTTTAATCTGTAATATATATGCATTCATCGATCAATATTAAAAAAATTAACTAATTTTAATATACAAATATTAAATAAAACTTAAGTTAAAGTTTGCAAAATCTAACACATATTTTTATTACAAGATATATTGGGAATGTATAGTCTTTCCGGTTTTTCAGCAAATATAATACATAAAATTGACTTAAAAATATAAATTATATAATTAATTATGATTTAAAAAATATTATCAAATAATAAATTAATCATTAATATATATATATATTTGGTTTAATTTTAGAATTTAAATTGATATTTATAATTAGAAAAAATTAATTTAAGTTAATGTAATCAATTTAATGTTTAAAATTTATACTAATATTTATGCTAATAAATAATAAACATTTTGTTGTTGCAAATATTTCATCTTATTTTACTTAGTGTTTAGTTTTTATTAATATATTATAAAAATATATTTCTAATAATGATAACACAAATATAAAGTAAATATATATAAATAACTGTAAATTATTTAGTAAAAGTAAAGTTGATCTCAATGCTTATTTAGCCTCAAGTAGACTAATGTCAAAATTATGTTATTATTTCAAATAATCTTTTATTTTTTTGAAATTTTATTTATATTATCACAAAAACAGAGTCTATTTGCGTTTTGATACCAATCTTGCTTTCATTTGACATAATTATATATTTAGTATTTTTTATTATTTAATACTTGATTATTATATTGAAAACTTGTATTTTCTGATACAACGTTTGAATTTTATAATAATGATTAGATCTAAATAAATTTTATGTTTATAAAGCAAGTTAACAAACAAAAATTGTTTTCAAGTAATACAGATATTAGAGTATACTGTAGTATTAATTTCGTCATTGATTATATAAAAAAATACAATTTTCTTTATCATTGTTATCCATGATTGTCATCAATTTTTTCTGTACATCTTGAATATCAATCACTGAAACTGTTATTAAAAACTTGACAAACATCTCCCATATTTGTTCCCAATTGATAACAAAAAAGTTTTACAATACAAAAATTATTGCCGATTATACTGTACTATCAAATGGGTTCAGTAATGACCGACAGGGTATGAGATTATCCCATCATTTAATCTCATCTGTAAATAGTTTTTTTATATATACATAATATATTAATACTTTTCATAAACTAAACATTAAGCAATTATTGCATATTGTATATCATATAAAAACTTGATAGATAATTTTGAAAAAAATTTAATAGATAATTGCTAATCAAGATAAGATGCCAACAAATATTTTTATTTTCAGTCTAAATTTAATTTTTATTATTATTTTTCTTAAAAATATATAATTACTTATATAAATATTAACAAATAATTACACTTATTTGCTTATATAAAAAAAATTAAAAACTAATATTATTAAATAAACTTATAAATATCTTTAATTCAAATATGTTTATTTGTAAAGTATTTAGCTAGCAAAATTTATATTAAAATTAATCCATTTAAAAAAACTAATATTTTATTTCCTTTAAAAATCTGATCGATAATCAAAAACACAAAAAATATGATTTTATTGTTTGTTAAATCATTGATATACTTTGATTTTATCTATACTAATAATTATATTAGAATTATTAATATTAATAATAATAATTTATATTTATTATTAATAATTTATTATAATTTAGATTTTTTTATTATTTGACAAAACTTTTACTTCAAACAATTAATATCAAAGTTTCTTTTTATTGTAAATCATATTATTATTATTAATAATCAGTTTAAAACAAAATGTTTTATTTTTCATATTTTATAAACTGATGGCAATCAGTTATACTGTAATATCAAAAGCGATTAATGTCTGGCAATCAGGTAATTAGGGACTGGTATTAATGCCACATAACTCTATCTGTTGTCAGATAATAGGGTAAATAACAATATAATACATGTATTATTGCATATACTGTATAATATGTTTGGTTTATAAAGGAAACGATTTTTTTAATTAAAATTTTGTTACAATTAAAGAAAAATTTGTATAAAATACAAAAAAACATATAGTTTAAAATATTATTAGATTACATAAAACAACCAAAAAAAATACAGTGAGTTTTATTGACAACACCATAAAATTGTAATATATATAATATATATATATATTAACGATTATCGGTAATAAATTGCTGTAAAATTTAAATAATTTATTATAGTATGTATCTGTATATACATATGTATATAAAAAATAATATTATCTGCAATTAATCCAAAAATTTTAAAACTAATTGCAAATTTTAAAAAAATAGTTTTAAAAAAGTAATTAAACTACATTAATGATTAATATTTTAATTACGGTAATGTTTTTTTTATTTACATTTAACACCTATTTAAACTTAAATATCTAATAATTGCGTTATAATTATATATATTTTTGTTTATTTAAATTATTAGTTTAAAAAATACATACACTATATAATTATAAGTTGTGATGTACAATTTAATTTTTTTTAAATAAATTAAACTAAAATACCTTTTAATTTAATTGCTAGGTTAAGCAAACTTTTATATAAGCTCTACATATATAGTATATAATTATAAATTAAAAAACACTGTTTCATGAACTTCCCGATTGAATAAGTAGTATAGCATAAGTTAATATAAAGCCAAATATCTGCATCAAAAAAACATACAATTATATACAATTATAAATATATTACATGATTAATACAATTATATGAGTAATAATAAGTTATAATAACAATACCGATAAAAGGGTTGTCCTTCTAAGGGGAAGCAGACCTCCAATTGTGAGACCATTAGGCAAATCCCTGCTCAATGTGCGACAGTTGATCACTTCATTGAACAAATTC